CCTGTCCCGCATTTCCTCCCAGCAGATCTTGCTTTGCAAGGTTGGCCCAGCCACAGCCAGACACCCTTGGAGGAACCCAGACAACTGTGAGACCGCATCACACCTGGGAACACGCCGTGTGGTCGTCTGGTTTGAGTAAGGCCGCACCTTCTCCTAATCTTTGCTACCAAAGTAACTTACCGCCTCGAAGCTCTCTGCTGGTGAGTTTCCATCAAGCGTAGCACTGTGTGGTGGCCCCTACGGTGTGCCGGGCACAGCTGGAGGCTGGGGACAGACTGGTGGGCCTAGGCGGGGACGCAGAGCACAGCAGCGTTCGTCGCTAGCCCTCGGCATGACGACAGCCCCTGGCGGCCCTGCCAGTGTGCCCGGCAGAGCGCAGCTCGCACGCGCCCGCCCGTTCTCGCGAGCAGAAACCGAGACCCCTGGCCGCCGGCGTCCAGCCGGGGCTGCCCTGGTATCTGGCACAGGACAGCCCTCAGAAGGACCTGCTGGACTAATCACTCAACGTATTACTTTTTTAAAAGTACCTCACGCATGAATGAGCAACCCAATGAAAGAACGAACGAACAAAAGAACCTTGGGCGAGCTGTTTAATTTCCCTGGGCTTCCGGTTCTTAGAGACGTGGAACAGAATCCTGTCTCTGCTACATGTGTGTAAAGAACAAAGAGGATAGTGGTTATAAAAATATACCATATGTTTGGCACAAAAATACTACTCAATACACATTGAAACGCCTCAACAAATACTCACGGAACATTTATTTTGTACAAAACACAACTTGGGACTGTTAAAGGCAATGTTGGCAGCAGCTGAAGAGAGCGATAAGCTTCTTCTAATAACAGAAGAAACACACAGTTCTGGCCTTTTTTTCTTATTTTCTTTGCTTCTCTGGGAAATCTAAGCTCAGTCTTTTAAAAAAGCTATTCTGTCAGTAGAATAGTGGTTTTAAACACGCTCGGGCCTGGGCCAAACCCATTACTACCTGTGTGACCTTAGGGAAAAACCAATAAACCTTTCTGAACCGCAACTTCCTGGTCTACAACGCGAGCGAGCGTTGCTGTGAGAATCAAACAGGATCGCAGGCGGGAGGTGCCCGGGCCAGGCAAAGCCAGAGCTGCACCGCGCCGCGCCGCGCCCCAGGAGCTGTGGGGCCAGCCGTCCGCCCACCTCCCTCTCCAGCCCCCGTGTGCCAGGCTGAGCCCCTCCATTGTCACCACAGTCCGGGAGCCTGACAAAAATCGAAGAAAGCATTCCCTCCTCAAATCCACCCTGAGAGGGGCCGGTGAACGAGCGCAAGCCAAGGAATGCTCTTCCGCAGCACCGGGTCCGGATCGCAACCCGGAGCCAGTGACGGCTCTGAGGAGTCTCGAAGGAGGTGACAATCAAGTCACGGAATGGCGTATTTAGAGTCCGAGCTAAACCTCACACAGGAAATACAAACAGGATACACGGTTTGCTAGAGAAAAACGCTGTTTTGGTGGAGAGTGTCACAGATCTCCATGCACACCATGCCCCTGGCATTCTGAGTGACATTTTCTTTCTGTGAGCTCCTATGCTTGACTATAAGTCAAGATGGAAAAGTAACTGACAATGATAGGATTTAAAAAAAAAAGGGACCAGGTTCCTAAAACTATTATCCAACCAAAATGCCGAAAACAGAATCAGCATTCAGTAAATACAGAAAGTTGGGATGAGGAGGGAGGGGGGAGCTGGCAGAGAGGAAGAGAGGCATGAACTTGGCCCTCAGGCTGAGCCCTCCCAGGCCACACTTGATAATCACGTTAACTGCTCTTCAGACAAAATAAGACAGGCTCCAAGAAGAAACAAATATAAAATGCCAGAGCTACTGAGTGATGGACGAGAACGAAATCTTTGTAAATGTCAATATCCCTGTTTCATTCAAGTACTGGGACCAGCAAATTTTAGCAGCCGTTTATAATTTCATATAATGTAAGAATAAAGGAAGTCTGGGCCTCTTAGACTCCACCACTTTAGAATCAAAAACAAAGACTAATTACTCTGGTCAGAAGGTTGTAGACGACCACACACTTGCGAATTAAATATCCAGGTGTTGGCTACACAAACAGAACCATTTCACTCCGGTCCGTCTTCATGCTTTGTAAGAAACTTTAAGCTGGAAAGCGCTTTGATAACTCCAGGCTCACACCACTTAATGTGGCAGGTGACATTTATGGGTCTCTCCCCACTGCCTGTTCACAACCGCCCCCCTCAGATGGGGGGCAAATTTAAATTTGTCATCCTTGGCATTCTGATTAGGGAAATAAGCTAAAATGAAGCATTGCATCTGAATGGCTGCACAAAGCCTAATTAACCAAGCACCCAGAAACGGGAGGACTGGGCCTGATTCTTCGCGCAGCCCTGCCCTTGCAAGGCTCCGGGCCGGGCTCTTCGTGAGGTGCTCGGAGGAGGTGCACCCTTTCAAGCCCCTCTGCACCCAGAACACTCGCTGAGCTCGCAAAGTGGCACGGCTCAGCCTCAACAGAGCTTTCTCAGGCCAGTCAGCAGTCACTTCTGAAAAGGACAAGGCAGAGCTGTTCCTGGTTCTCTCTGGGATCCACGTCTACACACAGCAGGACACTGTACCTGGATCCAGCGAGACAGGATCAGGCAGCTGCTTGGTCTGCTTCAGCACTCCCGTGGTCAGCACTGTCTTCAGTGCCTGGGGAAAGACTCAAGGCAGAGCGATCGTCCTGAACAGAAAAGTCCCTTCAGTGTCTGGTCATCTGGGCAGGATCACAGGCGCCTGTTGCCATGAGGGTTTTTACTGGTAGGTTATGGTCTCCCCTTTTGAGAGATGAGGAACCTGAGGTTCTGGGAATTTCTGTATGACACAGTGTGCCCAAGACTAAATGGTGAGAAAGATGAAGTCCTGTTCTTCACTCAGCAGAGATGTAACTAAGAATAATCCTCTTAAAACCTAGCTGAGCCTCAGAAATTCTTCAACCATCAAACACTAAGAATAAGCTGCGTTGCCAAAGCTGCTGTGAGGACCAAATTAAATAAGGTGTGTGGAAAAGACTGCACATTTTTAACTGACACGAATATTTTTTTTCTTTTTTTTGAGACAGAGTCTTGCTTTGTTGACGGGGCTAGAGTGAGTGCCGTGGCGTCAGCCTTGCTCACAGCAACCTGAACTCCTGGGCTCAAGCAATCCTACTGCCTTAGCCTCCCGAGTAGCTGGGACTACAGGCATGCGCCACCATGCCCAGCTAATTTTTTCTATATATATCAGATGGCCAATTAATTTCTTTCTATTTATAGTAGAGACAGGGTCTCACTCTTGCTCAGGCTGGTCTTGAACTCCTGACCTCGAGCAATCCGCCCGCCTTGGCCTCCCAGAGTGCTAAGATTACAGGCGTGAGCCACAGCGCCTGGCCAACTGACATGAATATTAACATAAGGTATTATATACAAAAATAAGGCACTATAGTTTATCAGCATCGTATGACTCCAGATCCATAGAAACTCCTCCCCAGTGGGTGGTGAGCTATGCATCTCGAGTCTAGAAACAGAAAGTTTTCCTTTTCCTTTAAATGGAATCTAACGTGAGGGTTTCCATGTGACCTCCTTATTAATAGCCAGCAGTCTAACAAGAAAGCAAAGAAGCTACGAATAAAAATAATCAGCTATAACCAAGTAAGAATTTGATCTGGAAGAAATGAAGCCCAGCCTTGAATGTTATCAACCTCTGATTGTATTAAGGTAATACATAATTACATTCCTAGCTGCTTGAGAGAAGATAACATCACCCTAGTCCTCAAACTGTCTTTCAGTTTTCAAATACAATGTCTGGTACATAATCAAAATATCCAGGCACATGAGAAGACAAGAAAATAAGATAAAAAAAACTAAGAGGAACAACAGATAAAAGATGCAGAATGGGGTACAGATGAAGCTTTCAGACAGAGACTGTAAAATAATTATGCTTAATGTGTTCGAGAATAAAGATAAGATTGAGACCTTGGCAGACAACTGGAAACTAAAATATATATATATAAAGACATATCTGTTGAAAGAGAAGAAGGAAAGGCCACGCATCCAGGGACGGTCAACCAGCAGACTGTGCCCCACGGGCCAGACCAGCAGAAATCTCGTGCAATGGAGCACCCTGATGAACAGCCTGGACCGAGAGCAGATGGCCTGCTTTGAAACCTCATTCGTCATTTACTAGCGAGTGCCCTTGGGCACATTACTTAGCCTCATTCAAGTCCTCAACCATAAGGTGGTAAGAACATCGATACCTACTAATACTTTACAGGGGTGTTAAGGGGATCACATGCATTAGTTTTGTAAAGTCTTTAAATGATGTCTGGCACTATGTTCTATTGCACCCGGGCAGGACAATGGCAGTGCTCGTTAAACACATGCAAGGAAATCAATTCAGTGAACAGCCACATCACAGTCTGGCCTCCCTCCAGCTGCTGCTTCTCTGTTTTGTATGTTTGACACCCCAATTCATACCTCGGCCACACTCAGCTACTCATATTTCACCAATTGCGTCGTGCTTGTTTCTCACCTTTGCGCCTGCCCTTCCTTCCATCCATCTGAAAGCCTTTCATTGATCAATCCCCTGGGAAAGCTCCTGCATAAGCTTCACACACTGGTTAATGTCACCTCCTCTGGGAAGCATTTCTGATTACCCCTCAGCAGTAATTACTTCCTCTTCTGTGCTCAGCCAGCCCTGATATTCCCCAGCCCTGATATTCCCCTTAGCACGGTGCTCACCAGACTTCCCGGTCACTTCTGTTTGCGTGTCTCTCTCCCCAGCTAGAGCAGACTGCCTGCATGCAGGAAGGATGTCTTACCACACACCGCTCTTCCCAGATGCCCAGCACCGCGTTCATCGCACAGTGGCTGTTCTATCAGACCACTCAGGGACAGATGAACACAAGACTGAACGAATGAGTGAGCTCTCATGCCACAGCAGTTCAAACACTGGTCACATCCATGGAAGTGTAATGGGGCTGAGAATCCTTACTCTTCCAAGGCTTGCAGCATGCTCCCAGGGTCCTCAGAGGACAGAATGTCCACCATCTGGTCGTTAAGGGAGAGGTCCTCATTCACGCCATCCACCGAGGTGAACAGCCAGGGTTCCGCCCTGCTCTCGTGGTGCCCGACCTTCAGGAAAATTGCAGAAACAACAGCTGAGTGTGCGTTCTTGTGACTGCCACGTGTCGGCAAAGCCAGGAGGCAAGGCAGGGAGCCGTAGTCAGAGAACCTGCCCAGCCCCACCACAGGTGAGCAGATGAACTCAGAAGAACCAATGCACTTCCCTGAGCCTCCGTTTTCTCACCAAAGAAATGGGTTTATAATTCCAGTAGCTCTGCACAGGGGTATTGTGGATAAAATGAAGCCATGGATGAATACAGGCCTTTTCAACCCATAAAGACCTATAAAAGTATGTCACCACCTCAATCGCCACCATCATCATCAGGTAGCAGATACTCCCAGGCATGGTGGACCTCAGCATCACGGATCTGCCTGGCTGCTAGTCAGAGTACAGAAAGTAAGCTGGAAGTGACATTTGAGATAATCGTGCCCAACCCTCTGACTGGATAGACGATATATCTGTTTTGTTTCCCAATATCATTACCTCTGCAGAAGCGCGGGACAGCTGCAGCTAACATTTAAGAAATCCTGTCCCATTGCCAGGTACTGTTCTGGGTGCTTTCCACACACTGTATTGTGAAACTGTCACAATGACAAAATAATGTTGGTGCCCCCACTTCACGAAGGAGGAGATGAGGGCTCGGAGAGGTGTGCAGTGACATTACTGAAGGGCACACAGCTCAAAAGGGGCAGGCTGGTCTCTGACCCCAATGTGACTCTGAAGGCTGCCCTCTGGTTTACAGCACGTTGTCTCATTGGTCACCATGCTGGCAAAAAATAAGAAAATGTGAAAGGTTCCTTCTGTGATGCCAGGAAAAAAATACTGCCAAGGTCTTCAGACCTTAAGTCAAATTCACACTCTGCGCAGCTGTAACGACCTGCTTTGATCTCTGGGAAATGCATTCTGCTCCCATCACAGTAGCAGGGTGTGCTTTGTTCTTCTGACTGATAACAGCATTCAGGGAATAAGTACAAGGTCTGATTAGATGGGCCGTTTTTCTTCTCCCACTTTTGCCTGTTAAGGAGCTTGTGGGCTGACCTCAGTTCAAATGACCATGCTCGCCTCCAGGAAACTGGAACAAAATGAACGATGGCCCTCACCCAGGCTAGGGCGGGACTTCGGGCTCCAGAGAGGAGTCCCCAGACGCCAGGCCCCAGCCTGCGCCTGGCCACTTTAAGCAAGTTGTTTAACTTCACGGACCTCAGGCTTTCTCTATATAAATAAGGTGAGGGAGGAAGAAGATAGATGTTCCTTTCAAGGTGTCAGGCCTCTGACACCTTGAGTCACAGCAAGCAGTGCCCGTTGCACCCTTGTGCTCTGCCATGTCCCCCTGCCCTCACCACCGCAGTGCCCACCGGCCCAAGATCCACCCGCCAACACCCAGGTGCCTTCCCTGAAGCAGTCTGCCGGCCTCAGATGGCATGCCTGGGACAGAATGTCACCTTCCTCCTTGCCTCTGCCTCCTTGTCCTCAGCCAATAACCAAAGGGATCCCAGCCCCTCATGCCTCAGGTGTGACGACTCCAAGGCTAGTCCTGTGCTGTCTCCAGAGCTCCTGGGCAGGACCAAGCTCTGGGGCCCAGGTGGTCCTGGTGAGACCTCAGCCTCTGCCCGCTGCTGTCCCTTCCTGCCTCACCCCCTACCACCCCTGTGCCTCCCTGGGGTCACTTCCCATATGAACTACTTGCAGGTGAATCCTAGTCTTAGGAGGCACTTCTGTGGCAGCCCAGACTAAGATGGGGCTGCAGGATCGGGGAGTTCACAGTCAGGCCTGGCGGATCGTGACAAGTGCTGGTGGAGCCATGTGCGGGCCCAGAGACAGGGGCCCTACTCTACCTGGAAGTGGCCTGCAATGACTTCCGGGGGAAGGTGATGCCAGATTGTGGCTTGCAGGATGGGTAGGAAGTGTCCTAAGTGCGGGCCCAGAGACAGGGCCCCTACTCTACCTGGAAGTGTCCTAACTGAGGAGTGAAGAGAGGGCTGGGAAAGCACACGGTGTGCGCACAGAGAGTTCATACTCACAGGGAAAACGAGCCACTTGGCATGGCAGGAGAAGGGGGTAGAAGCCAGTCCTGGGGGCTGCATGAGCCAGGCACAGGGAGCTGGGCTTCCCCCAGAGCTGCTCTGCAGAAATACAAAGCTGTGCACTCAGGCGGGGCCAGACCGCGGCTTCTCGCGCCTGGTGGCTGGAAAGCACCCCCAGGGAGCTTTCACAAACGGCTGGTGGTGGGGACACATCCCAGGACGTGCAAATCCAAGCTGGGCCTGGGCACAAGTGTCTGCCCACGGCTCCCGGGGTGCTGGCAGAGCTGCGGAGGTGAGACGCCTGTCCTGGGGGTGCACGTGACCCCGTGTCTGCCCGGCCCAGCTCCCCGGGGAAGGAGACTCACCCGCTGCCTGGCGAGCACACTTCGCCGCAGACAGGGACAGCGCACCGCGAAGAAGAGCACGAGCCAGGTCAGCACGAAGGAGGAGAGGAAGGCAGCCACGAAGCCTGCTGCGTGGACGCCGTGGTGCGGCAGAACCTGCAGGCACAGACAAGGCAGTGGATCCCGGGCGGTCGCCTTCACGTCTCCCAAGTCACACAGATGACCAAGAGCCGGCGGAGCAAGCGGGAGTCGGGGGGCCAGCCTGCCTGCCCCTGAGCCGGCCTGGGCCGCAGGCTGGCCGCCCCGAGGCGCTCCTGGTCCCTCTGACCTGGGTTTCCGTGCGGCACCAAGCAGGACGAGCCTGTCAAGGAGACGGCGCGTGGTGGCCCGCACAGGGCAGGGCCGCCCAGCCCCAGGCACGGCTCATCACAGGCTCTGGGGAGTTCAGCCCCACATCTGGCGTGCGACAGTCCGAAGGCAGCACTAGCAATCTGTGACATTTTCCGAGAGTCAGGGGCAGAGCTGTGCCGAGGCCGGAGGGAGAAGCCATGGCACTCACCTTCCCTCAACACTCTCGCGACTTCACCTTAAATATTAAACCTCGCTGTTTATGGCATTAAGTTCAGAGGCTTCTTGTCTCCTTACTGAGAAAAATGGTGAGATGAGCGCACCACACCGGCCTCCACCTGCCTTCCCCACTTCTGCCTTCCAGCGTCTATAGTTTTGTAACATACGCATTTTGTTCTGCAAACACAATTCAGTCTTTGTGATGTTTATAGGTTAATTCAAAAACAAAAATTTAAAAAGACAACATTATCATTATGATTAGGCAAACACTATTCACTGCAGAATACAGTACTAGACTGTGATCCTGTGTCACTGCACAGCTGGCCCTCAAAGGAGTATGCCCCCCAGGCCAGCCTCTTTCTCAGACCTTAGCAAGGGTTCACAGTTATGCTAATATTTTCAGTTTGCTTCAATTTGGACAAACATCTTCTCTTGTGACTTTCTGCTTTCTCTGAGGTTTCTCACTGCCTTTCTTTTTCCTTCCTGGTATCTGCCCATATCCTTAAGCTACTGTCTGTTACAGAAGGTCAGATGCATTTTTTCTTGAAGTCATCATTCCCAGAGCTCTCTGACTTCCCGATTACGAGGACCAGTGACGTGCTAGGTCTGCTGCACGCTGCATGTGGTCTTCCTTCCCTGGCTCCTGTCGGATATTCTCATAGCATTGACTGAAGAAAAGGTGTACTTCGTGGATCACATTTCTTTCTTTTTAATGGAGTATCCTCAGTGTTTACTTATTCTGAAGTAGATTTGTTTACAAAACATGTTCTTTTCTTACATGTCTGAAAATGTGACTTTGCCCCCATTTTGATAGACAGCTTGGCTGAGTACATAACTCAAGGTCCAAAACCTGTTTACCTCAGAATGCTGACGGTCCCACTCTGCCTCCTGATGTCCAACTGGGGTCCAACTCCCAGGTCTGCCCCGCCCACACCGTGGGAGCCTGGGTCTCCCTACCTCAGAGCTACAGTTTCCTCATCTGAAAAATGAGGATAAAAATAGTGCCTATGATTCCTTGCTTAAGTTAAAAATAGAGTTATTATACAACCCAGCAATTTCATCTCTAAGCATATACCCCAAAGCATTAAACACAGGTGTTCAAACAAAAAATCTGTACCCAAACACTCACAGCAGCTCTATTCACAATAGCCAAAGAGTGGTGGGGAAAAACCCCAAATGTCCTGATGACGAGAAACAAAATGTTGTACCATGCAATGGAATACTATTCAGCCATTAAAAAGAATGAAGTTCTGCTGCCTGCTACAACACGGAGGGACATTAAAACATCACGCTAAGTGAAAGATGCACACACGCAAGGACATATACTGTGCGATTCCACCCATGTGGAGTGTCCAGAGCCAGCAAGCGCCCAGACTAGAGGGCAGACCGTGTTGCAGGGGCTGCAGGGAGAAGAAAATGGGGAATAACTGCTTCATGGGCACCAAGTGTCCTTTTGCAGAGATGCAAATGTTCTGGAATGAGACAGTGGTGATGGCTGCACAACACTGCGAATATACTGTCGGTAACAGCAAATTTTGTGTTATGTGTATTTTAACACACACACACACTGCCTAATTTGTAGGGCGGTAGCACCCAAATCAGTAAATCTGAGCTACTATTACTATGACTGTTGCTAAGCTGGAGGGAAGGACACAGACTAGAGGATATTTAGGAGACACAGGCATGGGCTATAGGGACTGAGTGCAAGAACAGATGCCGAGAATGTCAGAGACAGCAGGAGCCAAAAACGTCCCTCAATGTCTACTTGGGAGGCTGGGTGCTGGTGGGACCCACCAGTGCAGTGACGGGTACAGAACTTGCAGCAGCTTAGAGGACCAGAGTCAGCCCATGGTAATCACGCTTTTCAGATTCCCCTAAAAATGTTGCAGCCACTATCATCCACTGATCATAACAAGTATAGACGCCAAAGAGCAAATTCACCTTAAACCATCGTCTAAGAACAAACCACCTGAGTCCTCACTGACTTTCCTACTTATATCTGGAGAAGACTCATCCGTCATTACCACCCCTTTAATCACGCATTAGCCAGAGCATTGCCTTTGATGAATTCTATCACTGCATTTATGAAGCGCGATGCTAGACAGAAAGGCTTTTCAGAGGAATGCTTTAAATGCTTGGAATCCAACACCAAGTTACAAAAGCACGATGAAGAACTGTTTATAGCGTTTGACTTCAATTATGTAATAATATACTCATAGCCTGTGCAAGGCAAAAACTAACATGCTAGCAATGGTTCTCTGGTGGTGGGATTATGAGATCATGGTATTTTATTCTTCCAACTTTCTGTATGTAGGGGCACTTGTGCGGAGGTGTGCTGCCTCACAATGGCCATACATTCAATCCCACCCTCAACCTCCTCAAGAAACCCTTCCCCCAGAAAAAGCTTGAAAACATGGGAGATCATACAGAATGTTTTCCCTGGAGCAAATCCAAGGAATAATTCCACTGAAATTCTTTACTTTGAACTACAGATCCAAGAAACAGAGGGTGGGTGGCTGCCACACTTGTCCTGCAGCCCCTGAGAGGCAAGCCCTGACTCCATAGAGACCGCTGGCCTCTCAGCTGACAACACTGGCCAGAGCGAGAGCTCAGAAGTAACCACAAGAGGGGACAACCATGCTTTCTAATGCAGCTTTGCTAACTTAACCATCTAGTGCACGAAGCTTAGATTCCCAGACACACTGCACAGCATGACTCTGGAATGCAATGACCTTGGCCAGCTCCCAGAGACTCTCGGGACCTGAGTTTTGTTGTTATTGTTTATCAAAATACCGTGTTTCCCCCAAAATATGACCTACCCATAAAATAAGCCCTAGCAGGATTTCTAAGCATGTGCACAATATAATCCCTACCCTGAAAATAAGACCTAGTGACGGGCGTGGCTACGCAGCGCATCTGCACAACCCATGCATTCCGTCTTGGAGCGGTAAAGAAGACGAGCAGCCCTTCTCATCAGCCCCATCACGACAGCTACTATCCCAGAGGTGACCAGAAAGGTGCAGGCAGCCCCACCAACAAGGTCGGCTCCCTCTGTCAGGTCCTGGCCAATGGTTCTAAAGGAAATAGAGTTGTAAGAAATTCAGGATGGAATTCGGGGTTTGGAGAGTTATGATGATGTTCCAGAAGAAGACGACTTAACTACATTTGAATAAACGTAGATTGTTGTACTGTACTTGAAACAAAATAACGCATCCCCTGAAAATAAGCCCTAGGGTGTCTTCTTGAGGAAAAATAAATGTAAGACCCTGTCTTATTTTCGGGGAAACACGGTATTAAGGGCATGCTAATGTTTTATTACATGGACACCTTGTATAATGCTTAAGTCAGGGTTTTAATGTGCCTGTCACCAGAATAGTGTTCACCGTGCCCAGTAGGTAAGGTTTTATCCCTCATCCCCCTTCCTCCCTCCACCCATCTTGGTTTCCTGAGATTTTTTACTCTAAAATGAGAAAGTGGAACTAGATAACCTCTAAGGTCTCTCTCAGGCAAAAATTCTACTCTGATGTAACAAAAATGTACTCAGTGTCATCTGGAGGAATAATCTCAACATCACAAGTGCCAGGGGCTAACAGAGGTCCCAGCACACGGAGCCAGCAAAGGGTGTAGCCAACTCGCCTGGGGCAGGTGGGGAGAACCGGAGTGTAGACGTCGGGCAGGCTCTGCAAGATGGTGATGAGTGGCCCAGAGGACAGGTGAGGAAAGAGGAGGATGTGCAAACCACAGCAACGTGAAGAACAAAGGGCCCAGCGGCAGGGGAGGTGGGTGCCAGGGTCCGCTCTCCGATGGACGCTGAACCGCGGCCTGCACAGAGACAAAGCGGGCGGCCTGTGCTGCAGAGCGGGCAACGGGCCAGCAGGGAGCAAGCAGAACTGCAGGCTGAAGAGTCACCAAAGCAGAGACGCAGCCCAGATCGGACAATGGTTAGAGGGCTGGACATGTGGTGGCACAGAGAAGGCGGAAGTGACAAGATGCGATGGCTTGCGCACCCCAGGCCTCTGGACTCAAGTCAAAGCCACATGACTTTGCCGACAGAGCCCCCCAGGCCCTCCAGTGCGCTGCAAGGGCGCCCGGTGACCCCGTGGAGGGTCCCCGCAGGGCAGACGCTGTGTGTCAGGCACTCCTCTCGCAGATTAACAGGTGCTCGTCACGCGTAAACGACACTACTCTGTCGCCTTGCGTGTTTATTAGAAATATTTCCCCAAGTTTCTTATGTAGTTTTCTAAGTGCTATTTTTAAGTGTAAAGTTTCCAAATATTTATGAACTCAAAACCATGGTTTTCTTCAGCTCATGATATTAGCCCATATTTACTTTTTACAAATTGTTTTTATCTACTTAGATTTTAATCTGATTAAGAAATTCACCTTTATTTTTGTTCCAAAAGATCCAGTCAGTTGCCCTCAAACTCATATATAATATATTCTTCTCCGATTGATTTAAAACACCATTGCATTATATAAATGTATGTATGTGTGTGTAGTTAATTCCCTTTTGTTACATTGCTCTGACTTTTCTTACAGCAGTTGCAGACTGCATTAATGTCGCTTGATAATGTCGCTTGATATGTTAATATCTGTTAGGGCAAATCCTCACACATTGCTCTTCATTGACAAAATCTTCCCATCTAGTTTTATAATTTATATTTCAGGTGGAACTATGATTTGATCACATTCGCCTCAAAGTCCTACTAGGATTATTACTGGATTTGAGTGCATTGGGGCGCCATAACAATTGGTTTAAATGCCTCTCTGATCAGGCCCGAGGCGTGGCAGCAGAGCGTCCGGCCCGTCCCCGGCGCCTGGCCCAGCGCCCAGCCCTCACAGGCACACGTGACGGCCACGAGACTGGCAGTCACACCTCGCGCGATCTGCGGCCTGCGCTCAATCTCGGCACAGTGTAGTTCTTTCTTCCTCTTAAAAAGACTCTATCGTCCAGGCACGGTGGTTCTCGCCTATAATCCCAGCACTTTGGCAAACTGAGGCAGGAGGATCATTTGAGGCCAGGAGTTCCAGACCAGCCTAAGCAACATAGAGAGACTTCGTCTCTATCAGAAAAAAATATATATTATGCACGTGTGGTGGTAGGCTCCTGTAGTCCCAGCTACGGGAGGCTGAGGCAGGAGCATCGCTTGAGCCCGGAGTTCGAGGCTGCAGTGAGCTGTGATCGCACCACTGCACCCCGGCCTGGGTGACAGAGCCAGATCCTGCCTCTAAAAAAACAACCAGAGAAATCTCCCTCCATCCAGGAGCCAGAAAATGAAGGAATACTTCTTGACACAAAACGGGAAGCAATTTCCTGGGGCCTCGTTTTCCTTGGCTGACACGTGTCAGTTTCACCCTCAGGAAAGCACAGGAAACTGAGGCGCAGACGGGCCACCGAGCACTGCAGAACCGGCTGCTCCGTGCAAGCTCCGCGTCGATCCTGTGTTCCAGCCGCGTGACGGAGACGCCAGAGGAACTGCCACCCTTGCCGGCCAGCTCCGTCACCGCCACACCTCCGGCGTGGCTCGGTGCGCTCTGCAGGTGCGGGCGGCTCCCGGCTGGGAGGGCCGCGCCCGGCGCGTCTTCTCGCCGCAGGCCTGGGCTCTCGCCGGGCCGCAGTCAGCCAGGCTCAGCCCTGAAGCCGCATCTTCAGCTGCGCACTTTAAAGTTCCCCTTCCCCACCTCTAACTAAATCTTACTTTTAAGGCCCAGCTGAATTCTTCCTCCTCCAGGCAGCCTGCCAGCGCCCCAGGCCACAGCGCGCTTTCTCTCCGGTCACTGTCCACAGTGCAGACGGCCTGTATTCGGGTCGCAAGCTCGCAAATTCACTCACAACCGCCCAATCACTGTGTGCGCTGTTTGGTCTTTCCTTCATCGAATGTCTTGGCGAGAGGGTGGGGATGGGGGTGACAGGTAGTGAGTCTCCAGGCTGTCCCCCAACTCCATTTACACCCTAAAATCTCACACAGAGCCTGACACACACCTCCAGCACGATGTGGGCCCAGGGCCCTTGCATGTGAAAGCCTGAGACAAAACACTCGTTCTCAGCCATCACAGAACCCTTGGGGTAGCTGTGTTGTTTCATGTGTACGTAATAATAATACCGATGACAACAGGTGACGTTTATGGAGAACTTACAAAACTCGAGACACTGTGCTGCGTGCTTCACGTGCATAGATCCACTTACCTCGACAACTCCTATGACGTGAATACTGCTCTTAGCCCCGTTTTACAGCTGGAGAAACTGAGGTTAGCACCAGGCCCCAGGTCACACAGTCGGCCAAGGGGCAGGGATTCAGAGCCAGGCCTCTGGGCCAAGAGCCTGCTATGCCCACATCTTCCCTGCAGGGCTGCCACACCCTACCCCTGGTCTCCACCCCGAGAGTGAGCCGGAGCTGGCCCAGGGGCACCCAGCCCCTTCTCCAGAAGGCCCCTGTGGGCATGGCTCACCCCACCCACGTGGGGAGCCTGGGGCCTGGAGGAGGTGCTCGTAGTGCCTGCTAAGTGAATGTCCTGCCTTTATACAGTCACCGGGGACAGTCAGCTCACTCAGGGGTATTCACCTGCTGAGCGCCACCTAATGTAGCACTCGGTGTGGATGCAGGTGAACCAAACACGGCGGCACTGCCAGAAGCCACAGACCAAGGAGACTGGGCCCTGGTGTCTGGACCGCCCCACTGACCCTTCCGCTTGCGGGAGGCCAGGCTCAGCTCTCTCCTCCACACGACTCTGGCTCCCCGCTTGACAGGAAGGCTCTGGAGCAAAACCGCTTGGGTTCAAACCCTGGTTCTACCACTCACGAGCCACGAAGACGAGAGGTACCACATGCAGCCCGGGACTGCCACCCTCTGAGAGCCCCGCTGCAAGGCTGGGCCTTGGCTGCATCTGCGAACAGGGATGTGGGAGGGAGCCATCGTTCTCTGACAAAGTGGCTCTCTGTTCTCAGTCCACGCAAACAAGGTGGTGTGCGCTGCACACCAGCTTCTGGGCGTCTGGAATCTTGGTGCGTGCCAAGCAGAGGGGTCCACGTGGCCAGCCCCCAAGAAAACCCCGGCACCAAGGCTCTAAGGAGCTTCCCTGGCAGACAAGGAAGCTCACGTGATTCCACTGGGAGAAGACTCTTGAAAGCTCGCGGCTGATTTTCTCCAAACTTCTCCCGCGCACCGTTCCCCTTTGCCGATTTAGCTTTGCCTCCTTTCGCTGTGATACACACATCACGGCCTTGAGGACAACTACCAGATGTGTAAGTCCTATGGGTCGTGCTAGATCCTCAAACCTGGGGCTGGTCTGGGACGCTGACATTCTAGCCACAGTATCTCGGGCAAATCACTTGACCTCAATGTGCTTCGGTGTCTCCATCTACGAAATGCAGATGATTTGAAAATAGAATCTGTCTTGCAAGATTGTGGTGAAGACAACATGACTTGGCTTATATAAATCGCGTAGAATGCCTGGCTCCTGGCAGGTGCTTAAGAAGCGTGAAGTGTTGTTGCATAGTGAACCAACACTCACGGCACGTGAATGAGTGAGCCATGAGCTACCAATGGCCAAACTGACGAACGGACACAGAAAAGCATGGACGGTGAACAGCAGACGCTGGGACGCTGCCCACAGACTGGAGCGTTCTGGGAAGATCTGGGAAGACAAAACGTCACCAGCAGCCAGCAGGGGCGTGGCCGAACAGCAGCACAGACTGGCAGTGGCACCCGGCCTACCCTGCCAATGGCCAGCCTATCCTGTCCAGGTGGAAGGCCACCTGGGAAACCAGCAGACAGCCTCAGGCCACAAGGGAGGACCCCACCCCACACATTTCTGGAGGGCCAAGGCCCTCCCCTTAGCTCTGAAGACAGGCAGGAGACCAGCACAGCACAGCACACGAGGACACGTGGGGACAGGAGGGGCGAGGTGTTTGGGTCACAGAGTACAGTTTCTCTTACCGTTATCTTTTCTTCTACGGTTATGGTAAAAAGGGCTTTTAGCTGTGTTCTGTTCTAGAAAAAGAAAAAAGAAATTGCCTTAGTCAGCAGTGTCCAGGCTCTGACCTGTGGCTACCACCCAGCACGCTCTCCAATCTCCCAGGCCCGCAGCCACACTCGGGCCTGGCCGTTGGGTGGCTCAGAGCTCGCAGAGATCTCACTTTCCTCGGGAGTGTCTGGGAGACTGTGGCCCCTCCTCTGGCTGTGTGAGTCCAAACACCAGGTCTTCTACAGCCCAGAAAGTCGTGGCACCAAGCCCCTGTGTGACACACTTGGGGTCGGGGCGGGCGGGCCTGGGACCGGCAGAGGCCACTCCCGCTCTCCCAGAGTCCGCCTCCCTGGCAAAGGCAGACAGAACCCTGGCTCTGGCAGGACTGCTCATGCCCACCTCTCATTCAAACACGCTCAACCCCCCAAACCCCAACTGCTCTTGCGCCCAGTCCCAATGCCCTCCAATATTCCCCTCTGAGAAGACACAGGAAATGGAAAAATGAAGGCGAGTGTTATGCCTGTATCTCCAACCACATGGTGTCCGGGAAGACCCACCACGAGAACACACATCTTCCTGGGGGCAGAGGCAGAAGAGCTTGCAACTGAAAGGCAGTGTAGGCTGGTAGTTAGGGCCAGGCTGCCTGAATTCATCCATCACTCACCAGCAGCCAGACCTTGGGCAAGGCAGTGACCTCTCTGTGTCTCAGTTTTCTCATCTATCAAATGGGAATCAAATTCAACTCACACTGTTGCTATCAGGATTAAATAATATAGAACCTAGAAGGGCAACTGGTATACAGCATTGTAAAAGTGCCACTGCTGTTGGTGGCAGTAGCGAGCAGTAGCAGCAACAGCAATAGCAGTCGTATCATCCTGGCCTTAGGCCTTGGAGCTTAAGTCCAGTGAGCTACGCAACGTGGGTATAATTCTCGTCACAGACACTGCTGAGTCAGTCTTCCCTACCCTGACCTCCGGTCCTGCCAAGGTAGGAAAGGCCCTGGCGCAGGCCCTCAGATGCTACAGAGGCGGCCTGGGGAGACCGGGAAATCTCACCCCACCACGCGAGCAGGCCACCTGATGCAGGCTTCCAGGAAATGGAAATACTGAAAGCCCTCTTTTCTAGGAGGGCAATGGAGTGTTTTTAGAACATGATTCTTTAAAGAAGAGACAATGATGAGGGATCACTTATACCTTTCTATTCCTGAGTTGCTTCTGCTGTGGAATACTTACGCTGTCCTCAGGCTTCTCATCTATAAAAAGGAGATTGTTCTTTTAATGTCTCCAGTCTTCTATAGGGTTAAAGAAAATGATGTACATATACACATGGTCTGAAGTTTCCTTCTTTCTCTGAGCCTTTAAGACTCTCTGGTCCATGGTCAGAGAGTAAAGTGCAGAGAGCAAGGCTCACCTGCCTACCTGAAGATTCTAGAGTTCGCCCGGGCTGGATGCCGGAGGCTAAATTCAGAGACCCACATTCCACATTTGCTGTGCTCTTCCCTTAGATCCTAGCATGCAATTCAAAAACATGGACCAAGTGGGACATAGGGACAGTTTTATAAGGTGGACATGAAGTTTATATAACATGGTGTAAAGAACTTGGGATGAGCATTCTAGCTTTTGGTCCTTTTGATCTAACTACCTACATGGATTTGATGGCTCCATGTGCGTGTCTGTGTGTGTGTGAGCAAGTAGTTTCCAGACACAAGCGCAATGTGCTTCTGATAGTACCCACCTCTTGCTCTGATTGTTACATGTGCTTGGCTCAGAGTAGGCTCTTAATAAGTGACTGGCTGTTTTTATTGCCCCTCCAGTACTCTCATACAGTTCTGAAATGGCAGAACTACAAGAGGCTTCCTACTTCTCTCATTTTTTAGGTGGGGAAACAGAAGGCCAGAGAAGTCGCACTGCTTCTGAGAACACAGCTGGAGAGTGGTCCCAGCCCCAGGAACATCCACATTAACGTGACGGACTTCACCCTGTGCACACACTGCATTCTAAAATATTTTCCCGTTTGTAGTGTAAGACTCTTTATGACTGGCTGACAAGCAAAGCAAATGAGTGTTCCCACATGGAATTGATAAAAGCCTCACTCAGACTTTGGGTCTGATCATTTTCAGCCCAAACACATAACGACCTTCTTTATATAACTTATAAAAGCCCAGGGGCTGGCCAGGCGCAGCAGCTCACACCTGTGACGCCAGCCCTTTGGCAGGCCAAGGCAGAGGAGCACTTGAGGCCAGGAGTTTGAGACCAGCCTGGGCAACATAGTGAGACCCAGTCTCCACACAAAATTTTTAAAAATTAGCCAGGTGCCGTGGGGTGCACCTGCAGTCCCAGCTACTCAGGAGGTGAGGCAGGAGGATCGCTTGAGCCCAAGAGTTCAAGATTATAGTAAGCTATGATGATGCCATTGTACAAAAAAAAGCCAAAAGCCCAAAGGGACTTACAAATCCAACCAGGTGAAAATATTTTAGAACTAGGCATATGAGCCTCCTGCCAACTTCCAACACTTATTCACTCAGCAAACACTAGCTGAGTGCCTTCTGCAACTCGTTTTTACGGCATGGTCTGGTGGGGTGAAACTAGTGGTCTAACAGCAGGCCCTAGAACTCCAGCTAGTGAAGCCTGGAACTCTAGAATCTTCAGGTAGGCAGGTGAGCCTTGCTCTCTGCACTTTACTCTCTGACCATGGACCAGCGAGTCTTAAAGGCTCAGAGAAAGAAGGAAACTTCAGACCATGTGTATATGTACATCATTTTCTTTAACCCTATAGAAGACTGGAGACATTAAAAAAACAATCTCCTTTTTATAGATGAGAAGCCTGAGGACAGCGTAAGTATTCCGCAGCATCCCCTGCTCTGCCTAAATGCACCTAGGGCTTGCCCTCATTGCAGCAGGACACCACACAGGCCCGAGCTGCAGGGTCCCAAGGAGCCCCAGGAGGGGCCAGTGGCCCGGCGGCTGCAGGGCCAGATTTTGGTTGTCACGTGACCGGGGGTAGCACAGCCATGCTCTGAGCCGCATTTTCCACATCAGGGAAAAGGGTCTTTCTCCAGGGGCTGACGCCGGAATAGACGGACAAAAGGAAGCCGAGGACCGGTCTCCTCCAGCCTGCGCCGGGTGCGCGGCGCCCAGACACGCGAGCAGCCGCACTCCCGCACGCACGGGGAGGGGAGCGAGGCGCGGCGACACTGAAGCCGTGCTGTCAGGGCCCAGGCTGTGCCCTCAACTCGCACGCCGAAGTTGCAGACCTCAGTGCTCAGGAGGCGGCTGTCTGGGGAGCGGGCCTTGCAAGAAAGAGGCAGCAGAGTAAAGGAGGTGCTGGTGGCCCTGGCGGAGGCTGCCTGTGTCCTGCTGCGGAGGGGCCGGGCGCAGAGCCCCAGCGGTGTGAGGCTCGGGGAAGAGACCGTCCACCAGCTAGGAGAGAGGCCTCAGCGGGGACCAGCTCTGATGACGCCTTGGTTTCTGGGTTCCAGCCTCCCGACCTGAGACAGCAAATGCCCACTGTTATAAGACGCCTGGCCTGGGCGCTTGTCGTGGCAGCCTGGAGAGCTAGTGCTGACGAGGACCACTGGCCAGGCCTGCAGCCTGCGAGGCACCTCGATGAGAGACCAACGCTATCCGTCATACTCTTGTCGGAACCCTGTGTGAGGCCCAGAGGGCTTAAAACTTACTGAAGGTCACACGCGTGTGTCACTAAGGTTCATGGCAAGCTGTGTCGGACTCCAGGGCCCAGAGCCTGGTGCCCTCAGTGTCAGTTCTCTCACACAATCACACGTGGCAGTGACGAGACAGAAACCCAAGGGAAGGGGAGTACCGGTGACGCGCTCCGAAAGGAGAGCTGGGCAGGCAGTGGCAGGCTCTCCCCGGTCGCCAGGCGTCCGCGCTGCAGGGAGGCTGTGTAGCTGACCTCGAAGGCGTCTCCCACTGCTCGGAGAGAAGCAGGGCGTCAGGAGGGGTCCGGCCCCACCTCAACCCGCCCCAGCCCCCCGCCCCTAGCCTCTGCCCCCACCTAGCCTGGCATCTTGCTTTGGAGGTTCCAAGGAAGGCCACCATCACGGTGACACCTGCAGCAAGGGGGCCCTTCGTCTTGCACGCCCCTGTGAGCAGGGGAGGAGACTCCCCTGAGTGGGAAACTGGGGGGACGCGGGCGTAGTCGCTCCTGGACTCCCTGCCCCTGTCACCACGCAGCGAACCTCGTCTGACTGGGAGTCTGGGCGGGCAGAGCACTGAGCCCGACCTGCCCGCGAGGGGCCCTCCAGGGCCGGGCTGTAACTGCGCCAGCCTTGTTCTCGCCTAAGCTTGTCCTCCATTTTGCCTTCCTCTGTGACAGGGGTTACATTTTAGCCCCACTATGCTTCGTTTCTCAATGGATGGAGACCTCAAAAATATATATAGTAAAGAACAAAGGAGAATGAGCACTGAGCCTAAGGAATCGCTGGAATTTTTGTTTTAAAACTCCTTAGCATTTTAATTAAAAAAAATTTTTTAAAGATGGGGTCTTGCTATGTTGCCCAGCCTGGCCTCCAACTCCTGAGCTCAAGCAATCCTGCCACCCCAGCCTCCTGAGTAGCTGAGTTTATGGACAAATGCCACTGTGCCCTGCTGATTTTATATAAGGATAAAAGCTGAAATAAGGAAGGTAAGGTGATAAAGATAAGACACACTAGTGAAAATGATACATGGGAAGGTAACTGTAGCCAGACCTCCCCACGCAGCGGTGTGATCGCCGTCCGTGTGGCTGCACGTACATCACCACAGCTGACCACACACAGTGCCCTGAGGGTGGAGAACACGTTACTTCCTGCACACACGGAAGAAGAAACTGAGACTGAGAGGAAGACGAGCTCGGGGTCACCAGCCGATATGCTGGACCGCCCAGCCCTCCTGGTGCCACCGCCCTTCCCCCGAACAGCACTGCTTCTCGTCAAAGAGATGCTCCAAGTAACAGCGACAATATTAACAGGATCAGAATGTCAGTGAACTCAGGTCTCACTGGCCATCTGATTTCACAGTTACGTGCTTTATAGTTACCCGCTTATTCTTTGAGCAAAATGTCACCTGTGCCCCAAGGTGAAAATCAGTGACACATCCCTTGGCAGGCGGTGGGTTCACAGAGACGTGGGGCGTGGGCGCTGCCCGCAGGGAACGCGGAGCCTCACAGGCAGAGCCAGCTAAGGCAGGGGCATAAATAGCAAAAGAACGTAGCAACAAGAACAAAACTGACAAAATACCGACTAACACCGGAGCAGTGCCCACAGGCCAGGCCACGCTGTATGTGACGCTCCAGCTCCTGACCCCACAGCACCTTTGCAGGCAGGTTTCAGCACCGCGCTGGGCAGTGGTGGGGAGCCGGGCTTCACGGGTGCGCGGCGAGCACGTGCTGGAGCAGAGCTCCACGGGTGCGTGCATGGACAGTGCGTGGAGCGGCAGGCGACCCTGAGCAGGGAAGCTGCAGCGGGCAGGGAGGCAGGAGGGTGACGCTGGGGTGGGGGACTGGATGGGACCTCCTAGAAAAGGGGCCCCAGGCCAGGCCCTGGAGAGCAGGGATCCGCACGCACGGAGTCAGAGGGAAGCAACCACCACCAGGGCGTGCGCGGACGCGGGCAGGCGAGAGCCGGCCAGCTGGGCGCGGCAGGCGCCTGGGCTGAGGGCCGGCCCTGCGGGACCACGGGCTGGTGAGGGCGCGGGCGCCTTCCCTCCACCAGCACAGCGCCAGGCGACATCATCGCACCGGTCCCACCTCCATGGCTCTACCAGGCACTGCTGAACACACAGGACAGGTGAAGTTCAGAGCAGTGGGGCTTTCCAGAAGCCACATGTGAGGGCCAGGCTGCCTGAGTGCCAACCTCACTTGCCTGCAGCCCCCGGGCCTGGGGCAAGCGTCCAGCCACTTTGGCCTCTTCACCTGTAGATGAGGGGCCTGCCATGACTAAAAGAAGTCTCTGCCCTCCTAGGGAAACAGCCAGTCTGAAGCGCGGTAACAACTGAACCTCAGAATTGGTTTTAAACCTGCTTAATTAACCAGTGACAGCTCGCCTCAGGAACCGAGCCTCTGAAAGCCAACCACTGACGGTGGCACGTTCTACAAGCAGCCAACCAGCAGTGGGTGGCCCCAGTGAAGACGCCTGACCATGCCTGGACACATGTGAACACGCCTCAACATCATAAACAAGCCTTTGAGGCCGATGTCAACCCACCCCACCTCCTGGTCCCTCACAGCCCAAAACAAACTCTTCGCCGGACTGGCGGCGCCACCTGGCGCCGGCGTGGCGGCTGTGCTGCACTCCGGTGAGCACCTCCTGCATGGCCCCGCAAACGCTTCGGGGTAAGGTTGAATGCATGTTTCTAAAACCCACAACTCTTTCCCCAAATCCAATCTCTCTCTAACGTGAATGGGGAACTCAGCGTTGGGGTCGCAGACACTGAGGGGTGGCCTCCTCCTCTGAGAGCCTGGCGTGAGATCTGCGTGAGGGTTAACTGAGAGGACACGTGCGGCACTTACGAAGGTCCCGGGACCGCCTGGCACCTGCCGGCCCTGCCCGAGAGCACTCTGCTGTTACCTTGCAGAAACGTCCTTCGGAACGCCTGGAGTCCGCCCGCGGTCCTGTTTCCGGCCGACTCCCTCACGGCGAGGCCAGTGATGTTGTCCAGCAAGAGCAGGTCCGAGAGGTTGGCTGACAGGCCTGTCCTGGTGTTGCCAACAAAGAGCCGCACGCGGGCCGTCCACGCCTCGCTCTGCCCCAACACCTAGGACGGAGCAGAGGGGTGAGGGCAGACCTGCCGCCACGTCCCGCGTCTCAGGGCCCACGCCAGGGCTCGGGAGAGGGAGAGTGGCGCTGTCACAGAGGTTCTGAGAATGTCTCCAGCTCCATCCAATTTCACAGGCCCCTGGAGGGCTTTGACCCACATTTGCCAAGCTGTTGCTTAGAGACAATTTCAAAGAAACTGAGACCCTGAAACGCAGTGACATCATTCCCGCGGAGCATCTTAGACGAGAAGACACCCACGTGCAGAGCCACAGTCAGACTGGGACAATCACTGTCACGCAGAAGAGCAAACAATGGCTCTTCGGGACTCAGGATTTTTTAGAGTCAGCGCCAGCCCCAGAGCACCACCCAGGGCGTCTGACAGCCACACGATCCCCAGGACGGGCTGGGCTGCTCGCTGGCCTCGGGCTCTGCCGAGCGCGTGAATGCTCTGTGGCTGGAAGCCGCCCAGCAGCCCACGTGGCAGCATCGCCCCTGCGTCTGCTCCCTTGGCCCGCTCCCCTCTCCAGCTTACCTCCCAGCAGCCCTGCACCCCTTCTCCCCAGCTCTGCTGAGACAGACGCGGGAGCTAGAGAGAACAGAAGGAAGCAATGTGGTTCCAAGACAAGGGAGCTCCGCAACATCAGAAGTGAAAAACGTAAGTTTCAGAACTATATGTGTAGTATGCTGCCAACCATGTAAAAAGGGAGAGGAGGAAGGTACATGTATGTATACACATATGTACACACACTCATAATTGCATGCATATGGCAGAAAACATCTCTCGAAGGACACATGAGAAACCGCTAACACTGACTGCATCCAGGAAGCGAAGCAGGGTAGCTGAGGACCTGCGGTGACACGGGTGGCACAGTGAAGAGTTAGCTCAGCAGACGTGGCTGTCCAAACTCGGCACACTCCGAGAAGGGACTGGCCCTAGGAGACAACCTCTGACGCCAGCAGAATCTGCCGCCTAGTTAAAGCGTTCTGCACGTCTGGGGACTTGGACCTCCCAGACGGTTGGCGCCGACGACGCGAGCTGCGGGGCGTGGCCTGGGCCACGCTATGTGCATGTGGCCTCTAGCTGCACAGTGAGCAGCTGCGGTCGGTCTCACAGGCGCTGCACGCCCACGAGACAGACTCTGAGAAAAGCCTCGGACACCCAGGCCTGGTCACCTCCCCTGGCTGACGAGGGCCACGCGTGCCGTGACGCGTCACTGCTGGCAGAACGGAGCACCACCCACGCCGTCTCCGGGAGAGCACGGCAGGAAGCTTGAGCCTGGCCTGTCCCGGGCTCTGCCGCGCTCGCCTCTGTGCCGCGCTGACTTCCACCTGTGCCCGTCCCCCGCGGCCAGCCGCACTGTGAGCACCACGGCTCTCTGAGTGCTGTGAGTCCCAAAGGCACCAAGCCCGAGGGAGGTGCCAGGGACCCTTCGCGAGGATGGTGTGGACGCCACCTCACCGCATTAATAAGATTAAAGACCTAAAAGACCTTCAACAAATTTTTTAAATTGCCAGGGACCACATTAATGTTCATAATCTGAAAGAAAATATATCATACTTTCTTTCTCATTCTAAATGATCCCTGTGGATTTTCACTGACAATTACTTGTTACAAAAACAAAAAATCTCAGTCCTAGCATTGCCATGTAGGATACCAGATCCCCTATTGTTTATTTCATCACTCATGCGTCTAGACATGGGTCGGTGAGCCCACGACTTGCCAGTTCTTAAATACGTGACTCTACTAATGTGATTTGGGCAAAATCCAATTATTTTCTCTTCAAGTACAAGCCACCTACAGAAACTTACCAGTGCACATTTCTGAAAAATTACTCCATTCTCAGAAGTCCCTTGAACTTCTCTCGAAAGGTCTCTATCCTACAATAAAATATAGAAATTATTAGAAAATGAAAAACAGTTCATGCTATCCATATTTTTTAAAAAATACAGTATGATGAACTTTTAATAGGAGGGTAGAGTACTTCTGCTAATCCCTAAGTGATCCTGATTTATTTTAAAAAGAGCATTGAAAGACTGGAAACTAAAACCATGAGGAAAGAACAATGTGGTGTGAGATCACCGGCAGTGTCCCTGGCTCGAGAGAGGGTGCCTGCTGTCACGGGGACTTGGCAAAGCACAGCGGACACGTCAGCCAGAGGGACGTGAGCAGAGCCGTGCGGAAATCGCTTGGTGACGGTTCGGAGCACATGCCGCGTCCTCCCGGGTGTGGGCTGACTCGGCACACCAGCCACACCGCGGGGACAGCGTGAACACAGGGCAGGGCGCTGGCGGCGGCCCCTCCGTGGGCTGCACCCCCCACCGAGACAGAGAACCAGCCCTGCTCCGGCCCCCTGTGGCCCTGCCACGGCCCTGAGGACACGAGGAGGGAGGCCAGGCCCGCCCGTCCCAGGCAAGCCTTCTGCAGCCCCGGGCGCCCCAGGCTTCCGCTCCTGCGTAATCACAACCAGTATCTGTTCATTTCTGCCCCACCACCCCCGAGCCCAGGGCCCTGGCCCCATGGTGTCAACACACCCTTTAAGCCACACTGGCCCCTCACCCCATGGAGGAAGCTTCCTAGGCTCTCCTGGCTGGGATGACGCGCTCACCGCTCTGCCCGGCCGCTGCAGTGCGGCGGGCTGGGCCCGAGTCAGCCCGTGGCAGCCCGCAGCGACACTCACCATCGTAACAACGGCTGGCACTTACCCAGCACTGGCGTCAGACCCACCTTTACACGCGTGAACCTGTCACTCCCATTTGAGAGATGAGGAAACTAAGGCTCAGAAAGGTCAACTCACTTGCCCAAGGTCGCACAGGCAGGAAGCCTGAGACTCTACCCAGGCCTGTGTCTCCAATCCCCGCCACCCTTCTGCAACGCACGCCGCTCCGCGGCGCAGCCTCTGCAGAGCAGCCCTCCGTGCAGAGCAGCCCTCCGTGCAGAGCAGCCCTCCGTGCAGAGCAGCCCTCCGTGCAGAGCAGCCCTCCGTGCAGAGCACCGCAGGCCAGAGGGGCAGACGCTCCAGGGGACACTGGCGACAGGCAGCAGCACGCGCTGGCTCAGGCCTCCAAACCGGCCGGCTTTCTGTCCACCACACCTGCCCTAACGCCTCTGGCGCACGCCACGGCCCTAAGGAGGCTCAGCCCGATCCCTCAAGCAGAGACCTGGCCTCCATCCTGACCCTCAGAGAGCAGCTTGTAAACAATAATTGATAAATACAATTAGCTGAACAATAACTGCAGAGCAGGCAACCGAGTATGGAGGATGCTGCCATGTGAGGTGACAAGGCACCTGGTATTTGAGAGGACAGGAAAGAACAATGATCCCTGTAGTGAGTTCAACGTGGCCCCCAAAAGGATATGTCCACATCCTGATCCCCAGAACCTATGAATGTGACCTTATTTGGAAAAGGGATCTCTGAAGATGTGATGGAGTCAAAGGCCTCAGGATAGGACCGTCCTGGACTACCCAGGCCCTGCCTGCAATGACGAGCATCATTCTAAGGGACACACAGAGCAGGAGACACGACACAGAGGAAAGGCCAAGTGCAGACGGAGGCAGCGCGTGCAGCGACACCGCCAGGCCAGAGCTTCTGGGCGCTGGGAGAGCAGAGAGGACCGTCCCCCCAGAGCCTTCCAGGGGTCTGACCTGCCGACCCTCGATTTCAGACTCCTGGCCTCCAGAACAGCGAGGGAATGCACTTCTGCCATTTTAGGCTACCCAATTTGCGTTAATTTGTTCCAGCAGCCCCAGCATAGCCACTTAGGAAGGGGCCAAGAAGGGGTCCATGGCCATCATAGCCCACTGGCCGAGCTCAATGGTTCTCATACCATTTTAAGCCTTTAAACCTAACGTTGAAAGACAGTCATATGAGGAACCAACACATAAGACAGAACATAAAACAACAGCAATAGCACGCAGGAGCGGTTAAGAGTAGGGGCTTCAAGGCTGGGCGCAGTGGCTCACGCCTGTAATCCTAGCACTCTAGGAGGCTGAGACGTGCGGATCACTCAAGGTCAGGAGTTCGAAACCAGCCTGAGCAAGAGCGAGACCCCATCTCTACTAAAAATAGAAAGAAATTAATTGACCAACTAAAAATATCTAGAAAAACTTAGCCGGGCATGGTGGCGCATGCCTGTAGTCCCAGCTACTCGGGAGGGTGAGGCAGGAGGATTGCTTGAGCCCAGGAGTTTGAGGCTGCTGTGAGCTAGGCTGACGCCACAGCACTCACTCTAGCCTGGGCAACAGAGTGAGACTTTGTCTCAAAAAAAAAAAAAAAAAAGAGTAGGGGCTTCAAATCCAGGCTCTGCCACTTCTACCTGTGTGACCTGGAACAAGCTTCTTAATTTCTCTAACCCTCAATTTCCTATCTGTAAAATGGGAATAATAATACTACCTATTTACAAAACTCAGCATGAGGCTAAATGAGATTATGCCCTCAAAGTGCTGAGCACGGCTCTGGGAACTGGTGAGCGTGTGTTCGATGCTCTGAGCCGTGATGGGCAGCAGCGTCTTTTAATAGCCGGGAATGAATCGGTCTGGCTGACGCAGCCCCCGCCCTGCTTGGGAGACCCCAGACTAGGCAGCCTAAAGCTCTGACTCCAGCCTCCCAGCCAGCCAAACAGTGTGTGTTGTACAGCAGAAATGGCACTTCAGGGACGTAACTGGATGTGCTTCCCAGTGATAACTCTATTTAGTGAAAGAGGAGGAAGGCATTTTTTTAGGAACAAAAAGCCTGTGACATTTTATACGTGGCTGACTCAATTGGTTTCTTTCCAACTTGTGGTGTCTCGTTAAAGTATTGAGCGTGTTACTTACCAGGTGGTGTGCTACAGGAGACTCTCTTTTAAATAAGGCCCTTTTAGGCCACGGAGGTATGAAAGCAAACAGGGAATGAGTCCACGGCCCACTGGGGGCTGCAGAAGTCGGGAGTGGGATAAAGGCTTCAATTTTCTTGTTGAATTTTGTTCCAAGTGGTGCTTCTGCTGTAAAACAGCAACACACATGTCATTTGATACAGAGGACAGCCAAGACGTGGTGGCCAAACCCAGAGCAGATGGCATGGACATGCAAGGCGCCTGCAAATGCTTGCTGAACAAGGGACCGAGCTCATGAATGAAGGAAGGGATGGCTTTTCTATACTTTCTTTGCCAGGAAAATGACACATGCTCTTCAGGAAGCTACAGAGCCTACGAAGAGTGTTTCTCAAAGTGTGGCCTCCCCATCTGGAGTGTGGGCCGCGCCCAGGAGTCAGAGGCACTGGGCACGGGTGGCCGGGCGGTCCTCACACACGTGGCAGCAGACAGCCCTGCCCTGTGTGAGCCCCGGCGCCGCCCCCAGCTACGAGTCCTTGGGCACATCCCCTAACCCCTCCGTGCCCACCTTCCCTAACTCTAACGTGAGCAGAGCCAGCCTTAGCCCGCCGGGCCTTTCTGAGCACCTGCCCACCGCAGAGCGAGCTCTCAGCGAACACTGCCAGCCTCCCCTGTAAGGCAGACCCATGCATGACCAGGCACAGCTGCCCACTGCGCCATGCAGCGCGAAACGCTCTCTCCAGAATATAGCGATCTACATCACGTATTTGGGAAATCCAAAAGCACTATGTGTAAAGCACAGAAACGTCACTTAAAAGGTGCTGGCTGGGCCGTCAGTTCTGAGTGACGCTGCTTGGCAGCTGATAGGCTGCGGACCCTGGACAGGTGAGCTAAGTCCTCGGAGCCTCTGTTCCCTGGCCTGGGAACGTGGTCGGGATTCCCATCAGACAGGGCTGTCGGGGGGCCAGTTAACTGCCACGCTGCAGCCATGGGCAGTGACACACCTGGCCAAGCCGTACAGCCTGTGTTTTACTCACCAGCTTCCTCCAGAGGGGATCAAGGCAGGCCCACCTAGCCTGGCCACTACACTCCAGCCAGCTTTGGGGAGGGGACAGGCCACCCTGGTTTTGAAAGGTCAGGGAACAACCTATTTGCCCATGGTAGGTAGGGAGATATGGGAAGGTCAGCAGAGGTGGGGGGCGGTAAGGCTTTCATGGCCAAAACAAGGAAAATTCAACCAGAAGGAAAATGTACCTGCAGTCTTAAAGTGAGAGCTTTCCACATTGGACCAAATCATGCAGGGCAAGTCCTAAAAAATTCAAAAGGCACAAAATCATTAACTGAAAAACGTACTTGTAGGAAGTGGTTGAAAGTAATTTTTGTAAATGGCTCACACAGAGAGGAATTGCACTTTTATCCCTAAGTCTAAAGTATGCTATTCTACCTCAACCATTCCACCAGCTTTTTTTTTTTTTTTTTTGAGACAGAGTCTTGCTTGTTGACCAGGCTAGAGTGAGTGCCGTGGCATCAGCCTGGCTCACAGCAACCTCAGACTCCTGGGCTCAAGCAATCCTCCTGTCTCAGCCTCCTGAGTAGCTGGGACTACAGGCATGCGCCACCATGCCCGGCTAATTTTTCTATATATATTAGTGGCCAATTAATTTCTTTCTCTTTATAGTAGAGACGGGGTCTCGCTCTTGCTCAGGCTGGTTTCGAACTCCTGACCTCGAGCGATCCGCCCGCCTCAGCCTCCCAGAGTGCTAGGATTACAGGCGTGAGCCACCGCGCCGGCTTCCACCAGCTTTGAGCACGGGATTACCCCCTTTCCCGCGCGAAGGGTCAGCTCAGTCAGGCCTGCGCTCCTGGGGGCTGTCTAGGAGGCAGCACTGCGTGGCTCCAATGTCTCACGGTCAGACAGACCTGGGTTCGAATCTCACAGCTGCTTTTCATGAACCCTGTGACCTGGATGAACCAGAGCCTCGGAATTCCCAAGACCCTGTAAGTTTCCGGAGAGGCAAATGAAGCATTAGACAGGGAGTGGGGAGGGCTGGGCTCTAGCTGGAACCATCCACTTGCTGTGTGTCCTTGGCTAAGTCTCTCAGCTCCTCTGAGACAGATCCGTTTCTGAAAAGCCTCCCCTCAGCCTGCTTAGCCTCATTTACTGACGAAAATGTGTCCAAACTGAGCCCAGCCAAACCCTTCCACTCTATCCACGTGAAATGCCGGGCCCAAGAAAGTCCCAGATCTCTCTACTGAGTAATACCAGTAACAGTGACACCTGCGGCCCTGGACGGAGCCCTCTGCAGGCCAAGCCCTGCGCCGGTGCGTGCCACGAGAACTGCGCAAGGGGTCCTCACAACCCGGTGAAGAGCCACCCTTCCTTTACAGTGGCGCCCAGGCAAGGGCGGCGAGGCAGCCCACTCCAGGTCCCTCCGGAGTGCAGGGCGGAGCCGAGCTCTGCACGCAGGCGGCCTGGCGCTGCCGCTCACCGCGCTCGCTGGCTTCTGCGCCGTGGGAGGAGACGGGTGCGCAGGAGGGCGGAGCGGACACTCAGGCCTGGCTGTGGGGGCCAGTTCCGACGGCGAGCTCACATGGCTACGGTCCACGCAGCCCTTGTGTGGGAACGCAAGGGATTGGACAGCGCAGACAGGCACGGCTGTCTCTGTTCACTTGGAGAGCTCTTCCTGTGTCCTTTTTGCAGACTTCCTTGGAGAATACGCCCGTCCCCGTGGGCACAGGAGTGACCGTGTTTCAGGCACAGTCCTTCCAGACCTCCAGGCCCCTGGACACAGCATGTCGCTACGCAGCGGGACTGTATAGAAGGGGTAGAAATGGTAAGAAGCCCGACAGACACTGCTCCAGCCAGGTGACCCTGGTCAACACCCTCCGTCTTCCTGGCCACGAGTCCTAGGACTGCTCCAGGGCTGGGCCCTAGGATCTCACTCTTTCCATCAAGACTCATGCCCAAGGTGAGCTCCTCTGGGCCATTTACACACTGACCACCCCCCAGTGAAAACCTCCAGCTCAGTGAAAACCTCCAAGAATGCGGCATCCCACAGGGTACCTGGGAGGTCTTCCTCAGGTCAAGGTCAAGGGCACCAAATATAAGGGAAGCATGAGAAGCCCTCACAGCCAAGAGGAGCCCAAGGAGACATGACAACTAAAGGTAAGGTGGGATCCAGGATGGGATCCTAGGACAGAAAAAGGACAGTAGGTAAAAACCAAGGAAATCTGAATGCACTATGGACTTTAATAATAATTTATCAATATTGGTCCATTAACTGCACCAAATGTACCATACTCATACACGTTTAATGACAGGGGAAACCATAGATGGGGAGGAGATACATGAACTTTCTGAACTATGTGCTCAGTTTTTCTATAAATCTAAACCTGTTCTAACAAATAAAGTCCATGAATTAAGAACAGACACATCCGTGAGGTTCTCTACATGGACAGTGGCATTAGATTTGGCGCCATGGTGCATCCAACGCCACACAAATGCTCGTCCGTGCTGCCCCCTGGAACTTTCCGTGCATTCTTCCAGCCAGCGCCTGCTGCACGCCAAGCACTGTGCTAGGCGTCCCACGTCTGGCAAAGCAGATTGGGCCCCGACATCACCCGGGGATGAAGTTCTCCTTACAGTGACACTGGCACTCAGGAGAAAGGGGCAGGTTCCCAGGGAGCGAGGGGCCCAGCTGACAGTCATGGGGAAGCCTCTCTGGGCTCCCAGGGCAGCCTCAGCTCCTCACCTCCTGGGCGTCTCCCATTCACGTCCTTCCTGTAGTCCCCAGACTGGGGAGGGGCCTCTCTGGGGGCTCTGAGCAGCCTGCTTCCACAGGGACCATGCCAGGTGCCAGCTGACATCACCTTCCCGTGCTACCCTGTCCTTCCCTGCTATCCCTCTCTCCAAGGCGACACAGCTCCCAGCAAGGTTACCGTAGCCACTCTAAGGCCCCGCTGGCCGGCCAGCTCCCCTTCCCACCGCACAAAATTACCCGCGGCATTTCACATGTGCCCGTGCTAGTTTCCCGCGGGCACTCTAGCAGACTGCCACCAATCTAGCGGCTTAAAAAACACAGTCCATGCGCTGACAGCTCTAGAGGTCAGATGTCCGGCACAGCCTCGTCAGATTACACTCAAGGTGCCAGCGGAGCTGGGTCCTGTCCGAGGCTCCAGGGGGACCTGCTTCCAGGCCTTTTCAGGCTTCTGCAGGTGCCACAGTCTCTGCCCGTGGCTGCGGCACCATCTCCTAGGCCAGCAGCAGCAGGTGGAGCTCACTGCGCCTCCCGGGCCTTCTCCCAACGTCTCCCCTCCCCGGCTCTCTCCTCTGCCTCCGCCCTCCACACTTAAAGGCCCTTGTGACTACACTGGGACCAGGCGGATTATCCCAGATCGCTCCTGAGTTAAGGTCAGCTGACTAACCACGTGAATCCCACGTACAATGACAAGTCCCATCGCCTGCAACCTAATGTATCCACGGGTCCTGGGGCCAGGACGTGGACATCTGTGGAGGCCGTTGTTCTGCTGTCCACAGTGAGCCCTTTCTCCTTTCCCGAAACACTCTCCTCCCTTGACCTTCCACAGTCCTGGTTCCTTTCGCGCCAGCCACACATTCCCTACCTCCTTCCCCGCAACCCTCCGTCTTCCTGGCCACGAGTCCTAGGACTGCTCCAGGGCTGGGCCCTAGGATCTCACTCTTTCCATCAAGACTCACGCCCCGCCCAAGGTGAGCTCCTCTGGGCCATTTACACACTGACCACCCCCCAGTGAAAACCTCCAGCTCAGATTTCTACCCCCAGATCCAGACTTACCCATCCAGCACTCCACTGTGCATCAGAACTGGGATGCCCCAAACACTGGTCTCCAGCCATTTGGGCACCAGAGACCACTTTCATGGAAGACAATTTTTCCAATGACCAGTGGGGGTAGGGGGTGTCCTTGGATGGGGGGTGGGGTGCAGAGTTCAGGGGACGCTCAGCCAGTTCCCTAACAGGCCACAGACCAGTCCTGGGCCACAGACCAGTCCTGGGCCACAGCCCAGGGGCTGGGGACTGCAGGTCCAAGAGACACATCCAACTCAACAAGGTAGAAACACCCCTGATTTCCTTCAAGGCTTGTGCACATCAGCCAGTGGCATCTCCGTTCCTCCATGTGCTCATGCCGAACTCCTTGGCTTTGTCCCTGATTCCTCTCTTCTCTCTCCCAACCCGCAACCAACCCCAGCAAATTCCATGGGCTCTAGCTTCAAAATACATCCCCCATCCAGGTCCCTCCACGATCCACCTGGCCTTGCCCCTACCTCTCGCTGGCTTTCCTACTTACTCTGCTGTTCTCACACCTGCCAGGGGTGCCTGGCAAGGCCAAGGGTGGGTCACCTTCTTGGTCAATGCCCTCCCACAGCAGAAAAGCCCACTTACGCAGAAAAGCCAAGGTCCTGGCCAGAAAGCTGTCTTCCCAGATGTGGCCGTGCCCACCCACGTTCCATGCAGGGCTCCACTCAGTAGTCACCTCCTTAGGCACCTTCCCCATGCACCTACCCAGGTAGCGAGCACCCCCAGCACCCCTCCCAGTCCAATGCACACTGGGCACATCTCCACAGCCCAGCCACCAACCGCCACGCTACACAGCAACACGCTCGCGTGCCGTCTTTCTCCTGCTCCCAGAATGCAGGCTCCTCAAGAGCAGGGACTGGTCTCACGCTGTCTTGTCCGATTGTATCCCAAGTGCCCAAGCCAGAGCCTAGCACAAGAAGGCCCTCCAGAGCCACTGTGAATGACGGACTCAGGCTTTGTCCCTGATCACCACTTCACTGCCTCCTGCTCATCCAGGGAACTTCCAGTAGAATTGTCTGCAGCGATGGAAATGTTCTAGACTCCGGGCTGTCCAATATGGTAGCCACTAGCCACTTGGGGCCATTGAGCACATGAAAGGTTTGCATTTAAGTGGCCACGTATGGCTAGTGGCTAGTGTAGTGGATAGCACCCTTTTAGACCATCTGGGAAACTATTGTAATTGCCTATCAGATCACCGTAACATCTATGCTCAAGTTTACAAAGAATTTTCTTATAGAACCTGGCCACTGAGTGCTTTGGGATGAAGAATCTGGGTGGGCAACCTCACCCGCCTGGAACCACTGTGGCCTCAGTTTCCTCATCTGTAAGGGATATTATACCTTGCTCATAAGGATTTTTAAAGGATTAAACTAGATAATATATATAAAGCATTTAGCATAGTGCCTGGCACATAGTTTTACCAATATGTAGTAAACGTAATACTATTGTTATTATACGTTGCTATTGTTACTATATATCATTGTAACTATCGTCACTGCTATTACTGTATCACTGCTATTATTACTATCATCTCTGTGATAATGCTGAGAAGTAACACTTTGCAGATGAACAAAGTGAGGCTCAGAGCTGGCCTGATCCCCGGCTTTATGAGTGCAGGGACTGCATCGTGTTCACTGCTATATTCCAGGGCCAGCACAGAAGCATCAAAGGTACACAATAAATATTTAGAAACCGACGCATGAAATGGTCAAGTGTCCACAGCTAGTAATAGTAGTGCTGAGACTAGAAGTCATGTGTTCTCCGTGAAAAGACAAGGGGAAGCAAGGAAGCCCCCGAAGACTCCTATCTTTCCTGACCAAGTCTCATAAAGTGTTTCAGGATTGGTTTCCTCAACTCGGAATTCCAAGGCTGCAGTTCTGAATCTATAGTAAGTATGCAATGTAGCAGATAATGTCACGTGGTATCTCCCTGGTTTTATTATTATTACTTTAGTTATTTTCTATAAATTCACCCAACTTAAGACACATCCAATACACTAAAGTTGCCGTTACAACCAACCTGAATTACTGTTGTTTGGTATTTCAAGTAAAAGCACAACAAAATGATGCTGTGAGCCTTATAAAGTGATGCAAATTATGAAAGGACCTTATTCTGAAATATGTATTTATCTTTCAAAGGTGCAGGGTGGTTTCTTTCATCTCCACATCCCAGGGCCATCAGACAGCCCTTGTTACAGGGCAGTGATTCTTCAACTCGCTGGTCTCAGGACTCCTTTATGTGCTTAACAGTTATTGAGGACTCCAAAGAGCTTTTGTTTGTATAGATTATATTTACCAATATTTACTGTATTTAAATTAGAGAAATTATTTTTAAATGTCTATTAATTCATTTTTAAAAAGGATGAATATAAGTAGCATATTTTATTAAAAATAACATTTTCCAAAATAAAAAAACCCCAGAAGACTGACATTGTTTTGCAAATCTCATCTATGTCTGAATTAATGGAAGAAGCCGGACTCTCAGGTATGCTTCTACATTAAATCTGCTGCAATGTCACACTCATGTCACCTCTGGAAACCCCACTGCACACTCGTAAGAAAGTGGAAAAGGTAAATAATGTCTCAGCATTACTATGAAAATGGCATTGACTTCCATGGACCCCTGAAACGGTCCGGTGACTCCAGGAGTCCCCAGACCCGACTCTAAGAACCCTTGTGGAATAGGAGGCATTCCCAGCAAGCGTCAAATGAAGAGATGAAAGCAGACAAGAGCCCTGCCCGCAGGAACTCACAGTCCAGCACAGGAGACGGACAGCCCCAACAACGTGGTGATGTTCTCACCAAGAGCTGCCCCGGCAGCACCAGGCCAGAGCCCCAGAACACGCCAAGCCCAGCGCACCTGGGGCGTCCTCTCCCCACTCCTTCCTTGCCTAAACGCACTCACACTTCCAGTCTCCAAAGAATTTTCTTCCTCCTGACCTCCCAAATTAAGTGACCCCCGCTCATCTTATGGCTCCTATCCTCACCCAGTCGCTGTGTACAGTTAGGCACTTCACTCAGCATGGGACTTAGCAAAAGGTGCAATGAATAGGTAGAATAAATTGAATGAATAAATGAATCAAGGAGGGAGACATGAGTGAAGGCTTCAAATAATCACACAAGAACACCCAACAGGTGGGCTAGAAACGGGCCTTACACCATTGTTCAGAAGGGCAAGTGAGGCCCTGAGACTTGCCCCAGGTGGCAGAGAGAGCAAGTGGCCATGGCAGGGACCCACAAGGCCCAAGCCCTATCCTGTACACAGAACGACCCTCTGAGACAGCCCCAAAGTGAGGAAAGAGGCTTGGCTCCCTGGGCGAGAGCAGCGGGTGTGGGCAGGGCCTGGGCCCAGGTGAGATGCTCATTCTCAGGTTCCTGCAAGGCAAGGGTGGCCCTTGAAAGTGAGGTGCCTGGGCTCACCTGGGACCTAGATGGCTTCAGGCCCTTCCCAGTAGGCACCATCCCTATTAAATGCCATGTTAAATGTCAGCCGGGATGTGCCAGCATAGCTTCCGGAGGGAAGCGCACGTTCGAAGCAGGTAAGGCCAGGAGTGCCTGCTCTCACCGTAGGCTCAGGACAGGCCTGGGGACTCAGCTCCCTGAGCCTTGCTTCTGCCACCTGCAAAACATGCAGAGACTTCCCATCTCACAGGGCAGATGCAAATAAAAAGACCCTGTGCAAATGGTCTGTCATTGGCCTTTTTAAAGCTCAGTGCACTGACACGGTCTCTCTCTAGACAGCACATGGCAGAAAGGGAGCAGTCTCCCTTAAGAGGATCCCGAGTTTGGGACCGTGGACAGAGGGCCCAGGTGAGGTGGGCAGTGGCTGAATCCATCAGCCAGGAGAGTGCAGTTACGTAAAAGGCCAGCTGACAACCCTGTCGACGGAGAAAAAAAGACCAAACTCCATAAAATAATTTTAAAGAGATTTACTCTGAGCCAAATTTGAGGATCTTAACCCAGAGCCACGCCCAAGAAACCTTAAGCAAGTGCACTCGCTGTGGCTGGGTTACAGTTTGGTTTTATACATTTCAGGGAGACAGAAGTTATAGGTAGAGTCATAAATCAATATGTGGGAGGCATACGCAGGTTTGCCCGGAAAAGGTGGGCCATCTCAAAGGGGGGGGGACTTATGGGTTATAGGTGGGCTTAAAGATTCTTTGACTTGTAATTGGTTAAAGACAAGAAGCTTTGTCTAAAGGCTAGCAATGTTTCAACATAAGGAGCTGTTATCAGAGATAAGCCACTAGACAGATTTGCTGTGTAAACTGAGGACCTGCAGCTTTGTCTTGCACACCCTTAGGCCTGTTACTGCGTTACAAAGGATGTCCCCAAGAAAGGAGGGGGCATGATGGGGCAGGTCTGGGGGATGAGCCTTAAAATTTTATTTTAGTTCACAACCCCAACTCTTCTTTTCACAGCCACTAGCCTCTGGCCAGGGCTTGCCTAGTGCTCTGCGCACAGCACCTCACCTAACCCGCTCGCCCGGGCGGGCGCTGCGAGGGCCAGGTTTCACAGACCAGGACACGGAGGCACGGAACTCAGGTGGTCTGCCCTGGGTCACAGAGCTCGCAGGACAGGATGCAGAGTGGATTCAAACCTGGGCAGCGGGCAAAGTCCAAGCCAAGCCCGCAGCTGCCACAGGAGAAGAGAGTCTCCACCTTTTCTGGAAGTTCTCTGGACACAAGCAGGATACACCTAAGGACCATGACGCATCCTATTCAGATCCTGCCCTCCTTTCTTGATTCTTTGCCCCAAGGGGCCTCCTCGCCCCCAGAGTAGACAAAGCCAAGCCACTGAGTCAGACCCGAGCCTGGGGGCGGGCCCTCCTTACCTGCGCGGTCTCTGGGGGCCCCGCCCCGCTCGGCCCAGGAGGGGTCCTCAGGCTTGTCCCAGCCCCGGGAGCCACGGGAGGATCCGGGGGCGGCTGCGCGAAGAGGGAGCCCGAGAGGGGACCCGGGCCTGCGGAGAGACAGCCTCTGCCCCCCAGCGCCAGGGCCACGGCCAGGAGGCCCGGGGCCAGCACCCACGTGGCGCGCCCCCGAGGGCCAGCGGGGCTCATCGCCTGCAGGGCGCCGACCTCCACAGTGGCCGGCGCGGTAGACTCTCCGGAGCTTCCGGACCCCAGGCCCGCCCCGCCTCCGAGCATGCTCAGTGGAGCCGCCCGAAAGTTTTCTGGAACAAACGCGGGCATCTGGGGCTTGGCGGGCTGGGAGGCACCAGGACGGGCGTGGGAGGAGGGAGCCGAGGGAGGGGGCTGCGCCCGGTGCGCGGGGGTTGAGCCCTACCGCGGGCTAGGCCCGTCCCAAGTCAGATCGGCTCACTCCCCACTCCCAAAGAGTGCCGGGCGCTGGGCCCCTCCAGTATGGCCTGTCTGGCTCTCCGCCTCCTGGGGAAGTCTTTCCCTCCATCCTTTGGCAGCCCCCTGTTAGGAAATGGAGAAGCATTTGGAGAGGCAGGGCCCTGCGTTCTGGAGAGCCCAGAGGGGACAGGGCAGCACAGAGGGACATGGAGAAGAAAAAGCGTCCCTCGCTTCCTGTGGGGTTCAGTCTAGCCTGGTGGAGCACCACTGCCTGAGCCTGCTGTGGATTAGCTCCTGGACCTGCCCAGGAGCCCTTCGCATTCCTAGTGGGGAACAGGTAGTCAGGCCAGCCCCTGTGCCACTCTGGGGAACCAGAAAGAGGAGGGTTGGTGTCTGAAGCCAGGTAGCAGCCAGCAAAGTCTCCTTGAACTCTCCATGGGGGGAGGGGGCGATTTGCCAAGGGAGGTAGGAGGAGGGGGAGAAAGAGACAGAGAGGAGGGACAGGAGCTTGGAAGGGCATTTGGTTCCTCCACCCCTCCTGGGCCCCTGGGAGACAGCTTACACCTATTCATTGGGGAGAGGGCCCGTCTCCTGCCAGCCGGTCTGCAGCCTCCAGTCAGGGAGCCTGGCACTCGGAAGTCCCTTCTGCCCCGGCTTTCTTGAGCTGACATGGACAAGACAATGCTGTTTGAAAACCTGACAATTTATGGGCCAAGCTTCCCCCTACCAGAGGTCATCCAGCAGCCTGTGGGGGCAGGGCGGGGGGGGGGGCGACAAGGCTAAATGCCAGGCATCTTGCTGGAATATCAGTGTTATTTGACAGTGCATAATTTAAAGGATGATTTTATCATTCAAACATTTTTATGATGATGTAAAATGCAAAGGATTTTAACATTGTTAAAACTGAAGCCAAAGCACCCAAAGAAATACCCAGCATAAAGCCAAGAACTCCAGGTTATTGCCCCCATAGGCGCTTCTAGCAACCTTGGACATGCTTCTAAGGAAACATTTAAGACGCTCCACACAGCAGAGTTTGAGCCCTGAAGCCAGACAGACACAGATGTGACTATATTCTGCCCCACTCCTTAATTGCAAAACCTGGAAAGTGTCCGTTTCTTTATCTACAAAAAGGAGAAAGAATTTGGATAATAGTTCCCATCTTGCCATGAGGAAATGATGAAACAAACTAGAACCCTGGGCTGGACATCCAGGCTGAAAGTACAAAAGTTTTTCTCTGAAGGAGAACCCCATGATACCCCACCCCTGCCCTGAGGGAAGTATACTCCAAAGGGCAGGAGAGTGTGTGTTCGCCCAGCACCCAGGACAATACCGTGTGTGTGTTCCTGTGGCTGTGTGCGCCCAGCACCCAGGACAATACTGTGTGTGTGCGTGGTGTGTGTGTGTGTGTGTGTCTATGTGGGTGTGTGCCCCCAGCACACGGGACAACAACAAGCATCTAGCAGCTGCTCAGTAAATGTTTGCTCAAAGGTAAAAGAGGTGATGGATCATCTAGTCGTGTTGTCTCCCACAGCTGTGAGAGCCTCGCCTTGGGACCTGCCCCACCCTCCCAGGCACTGGAAAGATTCTGTCTGAGTGCTGAGTGAATGAACAACCATGCAGTCTGGGTCCTAGTGGGGACTGGGTGTGTCAATCTCATTGTCTTGGAGAAAAGCAAGGACCATTGTGGCAGAAAATAGGATGACAGACGGAGCCTTGGGGCAGACAAGGTCAGAGGCAGTGGTAGGCTGAGTGGCTCAGGAGGTTGATGGTGCAGATTAGTGTCAACGGAAAAAAGCCAAGTCTGCAAAATAATTTTAAAGAGATTTATTCTGAGCCAAATTTGAGGACCATGACCCAGAGCCACTGCCAAGAGGCCTTGGGCAAGTGGACTCGCTGTGGCTGGGTTACAGTTTGGTTTTTATATAGTTTAGAGACAAGGGTTATGGGTAAAGCCATCAATCAATGTGTGGGAGGCATATATTGGTTTGGCCCAAAAAGGAGGGCCATCTCGAAGGGGGGGGGCTTACAGGTTATAGGTGGGTTTAAAGATTCTTTAGATTGTAATTGGCTAAAGACATGAAGCTTTGTCTAAAGAGATAAGCCACCATTTTGTTGCAAATTGAGGGCCTGCAGGTTTGTCTTGCATACCCTTAGGCCTGTTAATGGGTTACAAAGGAAGTCTCCAAGAAGGGAGGGGGCATGGTAAGGCCTGTCAAACCTCCCTCCTCCTGGCAGGCAACTTTGCCCTTGAATATTCCTCTGGCCACGAGGGGGTCCATTCAGTCAGCCGGTAGGGGTTGAGCATTTTAGTTCACGTTAGGAATGAGGAGAGGCGTGAGGCCTGCATCTGGTCGTCCCAGCTCCAAGATCCTCCTTCTCAGGAGGACGGGGAGAACAGTGCCCATGGTAGGGGTTGTTGAGAAAGTTTATGAGATCACCGGCTAAATGTTTAGCATGCCCTAGGCATGCCACTAAAGGCAAACACCTTCCTGGGTGGTCGGGGCACCCTTCCCGCCCAGGAGCCCAGGCTGGTGAAAACCCAGCCTGCTCGCAAGGGTCCTTTCCGGGCATGCTCAGTGCGAGGCCTGGCCAGGCCGGCGGCGGCCCGACTGCTGGGCGGCGGTCCTCCTCCCCGGCGGCGGTCCGGCTCCTCCGGCGGCGATCCTCCCCCGCGCGCGGTCCTCCTCCCTCGCGCGGTCCGCTTCCTCCCCCGGCGATCTTCCCGCGCGGTCCTTCCCCGGCGCGATCCTCCCCCCGGCGGCGGTCCTCCTCCGGCGCGGTTCCTCCTCCCCGGCGCGATCCCTCCTCCGGCGGCGGTCCGCTCTCCCCCGCCGGCGATCCTCCTCCCACGCGCGGTCCTCCTCCCCGGCGGCGTCCGCTCCTCCCCCCGGCGGCGATCCTCCTCCCGGGGCGGCGTCCGGGCTCTCGCTCCCCGGCGGCGATCCTCCTCCCCCGGCGCGGTCTCCTCCCCGGCCGCGATCCTCTCGGCCAGCGGTCCGGCTCCTCCCCCGGCGGCGGTCGGCCTCCTCCTCCCCGGTCGCGATCTCCTCCCGGCCGGCGATCTCCCTCCCCGCGCGGTCCTCCTCCCGGCGGCGTCCGGCTCCTCCCGGCGGCGATCCTCCTCCCCGCGCGTCCTCCCACCTCCCCGGCGGCGGTCCGGCTCCTCCCCCGGCGGCGATCCTCCTCCCCGGCGGCGATCCTCCTCCCCCGGCGGCGGTCCGGCTCCTCATCCCCCCGGCGGCGATCCCTCCTCCCCCGGCGGCGGTCCTCCTCCCCAGGCGGCGATCCTCCTCCCCGGCGGCGGTCCGGCTCCTCCCCCGGCGGTCGGCTCTCCTCCCCCGGCGGCGATCCTCCTCCCCGCGCCCGATCCTCCTCCCGGCGGCGTCCCTCCCCGGCGGCGGTCCGGCTCCTCCCGGCGGCCGGTCCGGCTTCCTCCCCGGCGCGAATCAATCCCTCCCGGCGCGGTCCCGGCTCCTCCCCGGCGGCGATCCTCCTCCCCGGCGGCGGTCCTCCTCCCCCGGCGGCGTCGGCTCCTCCTCCCCCGCGGCGGTCGGGCTCTCCCTCGCGGGCCGATCTCCCTCCACCCGGCGGCGTCCGGATCCTCCTCCCGGCGGCGGTCCGCTCCTCCTCCCGGCGGCCCGCGCGGGAAGGGGCGGCGCGGGGGCTGGGACACCCAGCAGGCCGGAGAGTCGCCGGGAGCGCGCCCCGCCCGGAGGCGGACCGCGGCCGTCCGGCGGGCCGGGCGGAGCCCCGATGGCTGGCGGCGCGGCGGCCTGCACGGCGACGCGCGGCTGCGCTCGGCCGGGACGCGCCGAGGCCCCCCCGCGCTGCTGGCCCCCGCCGTGCTGCTGGGCGCCGCGGTCGGCGTGGGCCTGGGGCTCTGGCTCGGCTGCCGCGCAGGCCGGCTGCGCCCGCGGCCCCAGGTGGGTGGCCACGCGGGCAGCCCGGGGTGGGGGCGGGCCCCGTGCTCCTGGTCCTGGGCTCTCGGGCGCCGACCCTGAACTCGGTGACCACTTGGGCGGGATCACGGGCTCCGCGCCCAACGCTCCAGGAGGGAAGTGGCGGAGCGACTAAGGGGCGCCGGCCTGGAGACCCGCACAAGTGCCTGCTCTCTCCTACTGCGCTGTGCGAGCTGGACAGCCCAAACCCCTACTGGCCTCGGGCTCCTCATCTGTAGCACCACGGGCTTGGCACCATGCCGGCAGAAAGGCCCAGTTCAGAGTGGTGGACAGGAGGGCCGGGGACACCAACCCCTGCACCCCGTTCCTGCCCTGCCTCTTGCCTCCTTGCTGTGCCAGCTGCCACTCCATGCTTGAGTCCCAGCCGCACAGTTGGCATTGGTTCATTCGCCCGGCAGGAAAAGTGTGCAGGCTACCTTCTACTTCTCTGCACATTCCTGAGCAGGGCAGATCCTGGCCTGGCCTGCTTGAGGTTCACAGCCTCAAGAAGGCCGCATTACAAGTACACCTGAGGGGATTAAGGGCCACTTCACATGGCAGCTGTCCAGACGGGTTGGATGGCCGTGGAAATGCCTGGCCCATGGCGCCCGTGCCATTGGTAGTGGGAGGGCCACTATTTCAGGCCCTGCAGCCTCCACCTCTTTGAAGGATGAAGTCTAGTAAGATCAGCGCTGAGGTGGGTGGTCTTGCTCCCCCTTCCTGGCCCACCTGGAAAGGAGACAAGTCCAGCAGGGCTCCAGGAAAGCAGCGCCCTTTCACAATGCAGGTGCAGGGTGCTCGCAGGCATGGTGGGGGCTGTGGGATCCTGCTGGGGATTCAGGGACATTGAGAGAGGCTGGCTTAGAGGCTGGCTTCTGTGAAGCGGGAAGGGCAGTAACATGCAGAGACTGGCTGGGCACCCCGTGCAGAATGTTTGCGGACATTGGGTTCCTCCTCACTTGAAGCCTGTGAGGCAAGGAACTATCATTGTCCTCATTTCACAATGAGGCAGCTGAGGCTTTGCAAGGTGGTTGTTTATCCAGGGTCACATGATGAGTGAACAGTGCAGGTAGATTTCAGCCCAAGTCTGAATGCCAAAGCCAGAGCTTTAATCATCTGCTACCTGGCAAGGTGAGTCAGCTGCGGTTTACAGGGGTGAACCAAGCTGTCTGGGTCTACAGTTCTGGTCAGCTGAGAGTGATGGTGGCTCAGACCAGGGTGGCAGTCATGGAGGGGGCTGTGGCTCAAAGGTAGAGCTGACAAGATTTTCTTATGGTTTCATGTCATCTTTGCACAACTTTCTTTCTTTCTACCTACCTATCTATCTATCTTTCTTTCTTTCTTTGAGACAGTCTTACTCTGTCACCCTTGGTAGAGTGCAGGGGCATCATCATAGCCCACTGCAACCTCAAACTCCTGGGCTCAAGCAATCCTCCTGTCTTGGCCTCCCCAGTAGCTGGGACTACAGGTGCACACCACTACACCTCACTAATTTTTTCTGTTTTTGTAGAGATGGGGTCTCACTCTTGCTGAGGCTGGTCTCGAACTCCTGAGCTCAAGCTGCTCATCTACCTCGGCCTCCCAGAGTGTCAGATTGCAGGAGGGAGCCACCTTGCCCAGCCGCAACAACCTTCCTAGTGAGACTCCTTTCCTCCTGTTTCCTCCCTCTCATTCTTGTTTCTAAAATGTACTTCTGACAGTTTGACTCTCCTGATAAAAAGTTCCAGGAACTCCTGGTTGCCTACAAAAGATAACGCCTGATTTCCTAGCATGGTGCATAAGGCAACTCACGTTCCTGGAGCACAGCCTAAAACACAGGTGCCCAGGCACTGCCCCACCCTGGTCCAGCCACAAGACATCTCACTGTTCCCTAGACGCCTGCACGTCTGCACATGCATTCTCTCTCCATGCTGCGGCCTTTCTCCTCCTCTGTCCTCAGCCTTCGGGACCCAGAGCAATCACCTGGGGACACCTTCTTGACCCTCCAGCCAGGTCAGGCACTTCCTGCTTCGGTGCCTCCTGGGTGCTCTTTGTTGTTCTCCTCTGGTCCAAGTCATAATTTTATCTCGCACCACCTTCCTTTTGTTGTTTTTGTTTTATTTTATCATTTTTTATTATTTCATAATTAAAGCTTTTTTATATGTATCGAAGTTATCTGTGCACGTAATTTAAAGTATGCGTTCAAAAGCAGCAACACCACTGCCCATTTTCCACTTCTTAGAAGCCACCTTGTTCAACTCTTTCAGCTGGGTGTTTGAGGAATTTACTTCCTATTTTAAAATAACTTGCCTCCATTGCTGCTACTTGCTCTCCTAGGACTGGTGACTCCCCTTGTGGAAGGGAAGAGGATCTACTTCTCTTTCCTCCCCTTTCCAGCAGTATGCCCACCCCTCCCAGTACTACCAACTCTACCTCTGTGGTTACAGGGTAGTTTGGGTTAAACCAGTATTCAGTGTTTCCATTATTATGATTTTGTAAACATTAGTCTCTGCAAATCAAGGATCAGTTATGATTATGAATACCTACCTTTCTTGCACATTTTGTTTTCCCTGAAATTAATCTACTCAATTTTTTCATTTGCTTAAATTCTATGTATTTATTCATTTAACACTAACCTTGCCCCTATTTATGTACCTTTCCTTTCAAGACATTTGAATACGTTAGATATTTGATCCATTTTTTTTTCCCCGTGAGAAAAACGTCTCTCCTAGAAACATTGTGACATGCTCTGATTTGAGCTGGTTGTTCTCTAGACCACAGCACTCTAAAGTGTGGACCAGACCAGGAGCATCAACATCCCTTGATAAAAATGCAAATTCCTGAGTCCCCAGACTCACTGAATGACAAGCTTTGGGCTCAAGGCCAGCAAACTGTGTTTAGCAAGCCCTCCCCGTGATTTACAGGTTTTTAAAGTTTGAGAAGCAGTTTCTCTGGGCTTTCACTGTGGCCGTTGAAACCTCTCAGGACCATCCTGTTGGGACCTCCTTACCCCTTTCCTGAGCTGGGTCCTGTATCAGGCACCCCCTGCATGCATCTTTCTTTGACTCATTTCTTTGCGTGGCCAGAACACATCCTTCAGTAGTTTTCTGAGGAAGGGATGGCTATAACTCTTGAGAATTTCTATGTCTAAAAATATCTATATTCTTCTACCTTTGTACTTTATTTGGTTAGGTTAGTTAGGTGTATCATTCTGGATTGGAAATAATTTCCCCACAGCATTTTGAAGGCATTTTTCTATTGTCTTCTAACTTATATTGCTGATGTTGAGAAAATTGATTCTATTCAGATCCTTGATATTTTGCAGGAAGTATCTTTTGTCCCTCTGTAGAATCTTAGAGAATCTTTTCTTTGCCTCCAGCATATGAAATTGCACCAGAATAGGTCTTGGTGGGAATCTGTTGTCATCCATTGTGTTAGACATGTGGAGTGCCCTCTCAATCTAGAAACTCATTTTCTTATTTCTTTGATGATTCTTTTCCGTTTATATGTTCTCTTTTTCAAGAACTCCTATCATTTTAGATTGAATTGGCCTCTTATTCTTTCTCTCCAATTTCTCATTTCTTTGTCTTTTTAAACTACTTTCTGAGAGACTTCTCAAGTTTATATGTATATTGAGTTTTTCATATTTTTAATTTTTAAGAGTTCTTTTTTGTTCTCAGAATACTCTATGTTTTACCATCCTATTCTTATTTTGTGAATGAAATATCTTCTTTGATTTCTCTGAGGGCAATACAGGTGTGTGTTTGTTTGAATTTTCCCTGTGTTGTGTCTGTTTCCTGCTTGCTTTTTCTTTTTGTCTTAGGTTTTATCTTTTATCTTAGAGTCTGTCCTCAAATGTCTAGTGACTCTTGTGGTCCTTTTTAAATAGGGAGCTAAAAAGTGGTTGCGCCCCCGTGGGATGGGTGAGGTCTTCTCCTGAGGTCTCTACTGCAAGACGACCTTGCTGGCACTCCCTTGCAGAGCCCTTGCACTGGCCAGCTATGGCTGCTAAAGAAACGACCGACAAATCTCTGGCTTCAACGTCTCCCTGAAACCCACCTGAGACTTTTTCACCTACACAGGCTTCCCTGGACATGCCTGGCATGAGCCTGCCTCAGGGCCTTTGCACTTGCTATTCCCACTCCTGCAATGCTCTACCCTGAGATGCCTCAGTGGCTCGCTCCTTCACTTCCTTCGAATTTCTTCTCAAATACCGTCTTGTCCAAGAAACCTCCTCTCCCATCATTGTCTATTATTCCCCTCCCTCCATTACTTTTCTCCATAACACACCACCCCTGGCATGCAGTATATTTATGTTGGTTTGTTTATATCTTCTCTCACTAGGATATAAGTTCCACAAAGGAAGAAGCTGTGTGTCTTTTGTTCATTGCTCTATTCCCAGTGCTTAGAACAACATTGGCACCTAGTAGGTGCTGAGTGTAGTTGCTGCCTGACTCAGTGACAAACTGGTGACGCTTCCTCAGAGATGATATTTGTGAGCAGCTAGTGGTCACAGAGAAAGTTGATAAGTGTCTCTGGCGCAACAGGATTTTAAAGCTGGTCCTTTCTCCTCATCCGCGTGCAGCCACCGAGGCGCTGAGCCAGCGCTCCCAGCGGGTGTGGCGAGTTTCCACGAAGTTCCCGTTAACTGAGCAGTGCTGCCCTTCTTTATGTGTGTTTCTGTCTAAAGACATCTGATCTAATACGCACTTTGATTCACTGACATTGGGCTCGCAGACGACAGCGCTGTGACCAGGCCTGAGCAAAATTCCCCTGACACGCATGTTCTCCGCCTGAGCCTCGTCTCGCCTTCCTGTGCTCAGCACGCTCGGCGGCTCCTCGGCACTGGGTTTGCCGCCATTTTAAACAGACTCACCAAGAAAAAGCACAGACATGCAAAAAGCATGGCACTGACTAGACTGAGAAAAGGACGCCAGTTTGCACCTTGACAGCTGGCACGGGAAGCCAGAGCATCCCCTTGCTCTGAGTTCAGCTGAGAATGTGGTTGGATGACGCAGAATTGCCACACTCCCCACATGTCCAGGAATCACTCTGAAATTTCCATGATAGCTGGTTGGGGTAACGAATTAATTGTAGCAAGTAAGGGAATTTGCAAATACAGAATCCACAAAGGATGAGCATCAAGAGTAGTTTACAACCACTGTGTAATTTAGGTTACCTAAGATATTTTTTTAGACACCATCCAATGACATTATTGAAAACAACAGGAAAATTAATATTTATGTGCCATTTCCCATGCTTAGCTGTTACCCCCCCCAAAATCTCACAGTCTAATGGGGGCCACCAACCCAGAAGGAAAATGGAATGAGCTTTTCTCCAAGTCCTGAGGGCACAATAAAATAGGGCATGTCAGGGCCCTGGGGCTTCTCAGGAAGGTGGCCGGACAGTCTTCAAGGGTGTGTCGCAGACCCCGGGTGTGGGGAGGTGCGACATTGCACACACGCGTCGTACAGGGCTGGGCGGAGGTGGCACTGGGTGCGGGGGGATGGACTGGCAAAGTCTTGGGGACCAGGCTGATTGACTCAGTGTTTCTACCTGCCCCCCATCCCTGCCTTGGGGCTTTAGAAAGACGACGCTCAAAGTCTGCTCAAGAATTTGGAGTGGAACGTGCAGACGCCCTCGGAAACCGGCTCCCCATCGAGGAGGCGGAAGAGAGAAGCGCGGACGTCCAGGGACGAGGACGACGCTCTGGACGTAAGCCTAGCGCCCGGCCGCGGGTGGGGCCCCCTGGCAGCCCAGGTGCCCTGCAGAGGGGCCTCTAACAGAGCCACTTCCCCAAGCAGGCTGCTTTTCTTGAGGTACGATTACATGCAAAAAAGTGCAGGTTTTAGGGTTACAGTCTGATGAGTTTTGTCAGCTGCACGCACTTGGAAACCGATCCCTCCGTCAGCGACGTTTTCATCACCCCAGAAAGTTCCCCAGTGCCCTTCTGGTACACGCGCACGCGCGCTTCGGGGCCCGCGGGAGCCGCTTTCCGTGGCGGGCTCGGCCGGCCGCCGCTGTCGGTGCCGTGCCGGCGGCAGAGCGCCTCCAAGGCGCCCCGTGCTGCTGCGCTCCGCGGCTCGCCCCCCTGGTGCCGCCGCGCGGACGCGCAGTCTGTGCCGCGCCCACGGGGGGCGCCGGCCGTTTCGCGGCTGGCTGTGGTGGGAGGCCCCGAGCCCGCGCGCCAGCCTGTCCGCTTCATTTCGTTTGCCGGCGTACTGGGCGGGCGTGCTGGGCCTCTGGCGGGGACGGACAGAGATGGGTTCTCCCCGTTCCTTCCCGGAGCCCTCACTCCGCCCACGGAGCTCTGCGTCCCGGGGACCCCCTGCGTGGAGAGCGCATGACACTCCTAGTCATCTCCTGCCTCCTGGAAAGTGCCACAGACCTTGTCTCCTGGAGAAAGGGGTAATGATTGTGCGAACATTGTTTGGCACCATTTGTGCCTGGCAATTTTACATTTATCATTAAATGTAAAATTTACATTTTACTCATCTAACTCAGCATCCCAGAGGCAGATTTTACATACCCATTATCCAGATGCAGAAACTGAGGACCAGGGAGATAGGCTGATCTCCTGAGTCACACAGCCGGGAGTTGCCAAGCCGGGACGTATCCCTGGATCTGGCCAGCCCGTGCCTGGGGAGGGCTGCACTCCACGCCCTCTGCCACTTTCTTTCCTCTTCCGTTGTGTTCTGCAGCCTCAGCTTGCCACAGAAGAAAGTGGGCTAGCTGCTTTAAAACAAATGTCACCACAGGTTTGGAATCAACAGGGCTTGGCTTCTAGTCATGCTGAAAATCAGCTTTTGAGAGTTAGTTCTGCACCCTCCTGCCCGGGCGGCAGGAGCCTGTGGGAGGAGGAGCCGCCCGCCTGCGCTGAGGCAGGTGAGGCGAGAAGGGGAGGGTGGCTGCGCTGGCCCAGGCAGGGCTTGCGGGACAGAAGTCTCCCCTCCTCTCCTGTCCCAGGTCTCTGTGCTAGTCTTCCCACGCGCCTGTGTGTGCCGCCGTACCTCTCTGCATGCTCCTCCCGCCTCCCTCAGCACCACTGTGACGGTGCGTGTGAGCCTGGGGGTGTGCGGCGTCTCCCTGCCTCGCTGCCTCTCCCTTCCCTGATCTGTCTCTCTCTACTCCTCTGCCCTCCATCCTGAGACCCTGATCACAGAAAGGGAAACAAACGTCCACAGAAAAATGTGTACACGATCAAATTAACACTCTTCACAAAAGCCAAAACATGGAAACATCCCAATGACCATCAACTGACAAGTGAAAAAATAAAATGTGATATATCCATACAATGGAATATTATTTGGCCATAAAAGGATTGAGGCCAGGCACTGTGGCTCACTCCTGTCATCCTAGGACTCGGAGGCTGAGGCAGGAGGATTGCTTAAGCTCAGGAATCTGAGACCACCCTGGGCAAGAGTAAGACCCCATCTCTACCAAAAATAGAAAAATTAGCCAGGTATGGTGGTGCGCACCTATAGTCCCAGCTACTGAGGAGGCTGAGGCAGGAGGATCACTTGAGCCCAGGAGTTGGAGGCTGCAGTGAGCTGTGATGATGCCATGCACTCCAGCCTGGGCACAGAGCGAGACTCAGTCTCTAAAGAAAGGATTGAAGCACTGATGCGTGCCACAGCGCAGGTGAGCCTTGAAAGCATGGCGCTGAATGAAAGAAGCCAGTCACAAAGGATCATGTTACAGGACTCCATCCATGCGAAGTATCCAGAACAGGGAAATTCATAGACGGAAGGTAGATTAGTGGTTGCCAGGGGCAGGGGCAGATGGCCAGGAGGGATGGGGGTGATAGCTAAAGGGGTTTCTCTTTGATGCCATGAATTTGTTATAAAGTCAGCTGTGGTGATGGCTGTACTTATCTGTGAAGATGAAAACCATTACCTTGTGTACTTTACTCATTATGTGTGAATTAAATCTCAGTAAAGCTGTTTTAAAAAAACAACCAACCCTGCTCACACTTAGGGTAGCTTTGGATGTGATGAAAACAATACTGGCTTTTGAATCTAGCGTCCTAGAACCAGTCCCACCCTGCCACGTGTTGCTGTGTGACGGTGAGCCTCAGGTCTACCGCTCTACAATGACAGCATGACGTTGCCTCCCACCCCGAGGTCACTCGGGGCTGAATTAACTCATGTCAACGTCCTGCCACCGAACATGTGCCCAGTTAGTGTTCACAGAGGGGCCAAGTCTTTCTGCCTCCTTGCATGGTGAGTTCATTTTTCTTTCATTTTCTTTCATTTTCTTCTGCTTAGTAATGTCTTACCTGTTCACTATTTAGCTACCCCTAGCAGAGGCCCATTATCAAGCTAACAGTTGCCAAGAGTTAAGTTAAAGATCTGCCCGTTCCACTGACTGGCTTTTCAGAATGCCCTTGCCTTTTTCAGACTCAGCTTGTCGCAAGTGTGTTGCCAGGGCTGCTCTGGCCGTGGGAGTTGAGCTGTGGCTCTCGCCCCCTCCCCTCCCCCCCCATGCACAGCAAACCAAGGCATTGTGGGCCATGCCACTCCTTAGGCGAACTCTGTTTAATGAATAGCTCATCTCAGCCAAAAACAAACAGAATTCCAGAATGCTCCGAGGCATGCTACGACACTTGGAAGGAAGGAGGGGTATAGATCCTTACGGATGCACTTACGTGTTTGCAGAAAAGAACGCATCCACATTGGGGAATGGAATGCTTTTCTTTTCCTGCAGTTATGCTTTAACCAATTTTCGGAATAATTGCATTGCTTCAGCTGAAGGAGTTTTACTTTGTACATTTGTGCTACATCCAATTTTCTAAATAATTGTATTCCTTTGGCTGGGGAGAACGGCAGAACTTGGAGGACATCTGAACCTAATAAGGAGAGCTTTAAAAGCCTGAAGACAGTGGCTCCTGTTTGGGCAGCAGAAAGAAGCCTGCTCACTCCTTGATGGCGGGTGCCAAGGGCCTCCGGGTTTCTTGTCTCCTGGCAGAGGCCATGACAGTCCTTAGGCCACCCTCCGGAGGCGAAGTCCACAGGTGGATGGAACAGGTGAAGCCTCCCCACCGCCGCAATTGTGTTTCTGACGCCAAGCCGCAGCCCCCCCCCCACTGTGTCCAGGTGCTGCTCCTGGGGTCTCGGGTGGACCCTGATTCAACATCCTTTTCTTCTTATAATTGTGTTTTTGCTTTGCATCTCGCCTCTTGAAGATGAGCTCCTGGCAGGAGAGACCATGCCTTCCTCTCACGTTCACCCCATTCTCTCTGTCCTTCCTTTTCACCTATATGTGGGACAAGTTTAAACATGCACAGTTCCCTTTTGATTTTGCGTCTCTCCCGTGAGCAAATATGCCTCCCCTGGACGGTCAGGCGGGCGGGTGTCCTGGGCCTGCAACCTGTGCGGTCACCCAGGGCCATGCTCAGAGGGCCCTGTCCTTGGCTGCTAGACTCTGCTGTCACTATCTCAAAATCCTGAATCATTTTTAATGAGACCCCCCCCATTTTCATTTTGCAATGAGCCTCACAGATTTTGTAACTGGTCCTGAGTTCAGCCTTTTTAATCTGCCATTCTTGGCTTTTATATCAGTTCACCAGCAAGTGAACTTCAAGCAGTGTCTTCTGCAAGTGTCTTCAAGCAGACAGTGGGCGGGATGTTGGGGTTTGAGAGCAGGCCAGGCCTTGTACCTTCAGGTCAAAGGGAAGCTGGGAAGGTTCTAAGATGAGCCGTGATGGGAATTGCATATTTGAAAGATCATTCACTTCCCACATAAAGAATGAATTGGAAGGTCTTAACTTCTGAGCCTTAGTTTGCCCCTCCATAAGTTGGGCATGATAATTATTATACGGGCCTCCCCAAACTGACTGTTGTGTGATAATTAAATGAGGAAAAATGCACAAAGCGGCCAGCACGTAGTAGGAGCTTAATACACAATGAGCCAGTGAGGAAGCTATTGCAGCCCTTCAGGCTAGACATGGTGGAGGCTTAGTCGGGGTGCATGGATTTGGGAGCTAGTTAGGAGGTTAGGGTGGTGGGATTTGTGTGGTTAGTTGGACGTGGGGAGTTGGGGTGATGAGGTGCCTCGGTATCTGACGTGGGTTCCTGGCCAGGTGCGCCAAGCTCGGGGCCTTCTCCATTGAACCCCACTGTAAACTTCATGGCTCCCCCTCCTTGCTCGCACCATGTTGAAGGAGCCAGGTTGGTGTCAGCTGAAGAGGGTGGGCCTGGAGCCAGCAAAACTGGGCTCAGATCCTGGTTCTAGCGTTTCCTAGCTGAGTGTAACATCTGAGAAGTGGAGACAGAACTCTCTGGCAGCTCTTGGAGGGCGTGTGTCGCAGGCGTGTGTCTCCGCGGTCCCTGCCATCCGAGCCTGTTTCTGTGACCCGTGAGACACAGAGAGATCGTGACAGCTGGCCCTCAGCACGCGGCTTCCGTCCTGCGCCCCTCACGGGACGTCAGGCGGCACTCGCTCTGGACACGTGCGTGGGCCAGCGCCGGCTCGGTCGGGGTGCTCGACACCCCAAGTTACGAGCAGGCGATCAATCCTGATTCCCACAGAGGGTGTCTTGTTCCAAGGTGGACTCAGCAATTGAAGACCCGTCATTGGGTGTGGGGCTCTTTCTTCAAGATGGAGCTGAAAAGCATTGAAACCATGTGGGGCAGCTGTCGGCAGCCAGACTGTTCCGGATTGTTGAGCAGAGATGTCTCCAGCGCCGGCTCCTGGCTCGCCTGTCTGCCTCCGCGCTTGCTGTTGTTTCCCAGCCGTTGGTTCAGCGACTCTGCGCTGCGCGGAAGGGGCGGCCACAGGAGGAGGCGTGCGGCTGCGGCAGGCTGTTTCCCCTAGCGGTGAGCGGGGAGGCGGTTCCTGAGCAGCCCGGCGGCAGCTCGTCACCCACTGCACGCCGCAGCCCACGGCTTAGCTCCTCCTCTGCACCTGCCACTTAGCTGGGCACTTTATCTGTGTGGGCGTAGGGGCAGATACTCTATATTTACTACCTGGGAAGACCAAGGCTCAGAGAAGTTAAAAGATTTGCCCAACCACTTCTATTTGTTTGAGGGCGTAATTTATAATCTTGTGTGAATATTGATTGCCACATGTGTTTATACCCCTGGCAGTGCTAAAATTATTTTTTGTGTTTGCTTTTTCCATTTAAAGATGACTCACAATTCTTTAGGAGGCTCCTGTTGATTCTTTCAAGTTACTCAAATCCTTACTTATTCCCAAGCTGAAGACTTAGAATTAAATGAAGAATGTGCCATTCTCTGTTGATAGCATCTGTTTTTCTGTTCCTCTGTCCATGTGCCCATCAATCTGCCCATTATACATCTGTCTGTCTGTCCACCCTCCACCCACCCATCCGTCTCTCCACGTATCCATCCATGCATCCACCCTTCTAGCAAGTGAGCCCTTGGGTATAGACGTGCCTGTTGTGTCCCCGTCCAAGGCTGCTGTCACAAATGGGGACTGCTGGCAGTCCGTCCCTCATGCTACAGAGCCCTCACACGCCGATGGTTTCCTTCCTTTCTAGGGATGTGCGCCTCCACCCAGCAGCAGCGTCGCTGCGTTCGCACTGAAGGCGAAGGTCGTCTACCCCATCAGCCAGAAGTTCCGGGTGAGCGATCTAAGCTTTGTTGCAGAGACGCAGCCAACTCAGTCATGTACTAGAGACTGGGGGCTGGTGGGGGATTAAATGGCAATCTTTGGTCCTATTCAAGGGTTTTACAGGGATAATTTTGGTGCTCTGAAATGGAGCAAAACTTCGGTTAATTCATTTTATGGCAGCATTGTCAGGAACAAAGTATGTCCAGGATGTATCCAGGTAAGGAATAGCCCAGGGGCCCCAGGTGACAGCACAGCAGGACAACATCTACCCTGCCCTTTTAGCATTAACAAAGATGCTGATACTGACCCAGTTTCCAGAATTATCCTCATTCACAGACCCCTGGGCTAACGCGGCAGCTGGCCTTCACTGAACACTTACCTGGGGTGGGCGAGGTGCTCAGTGTCTGTCGTGGGCTAGGCATTGCGACTTGGCAATGTGCCTGTCAGGTGAATAATATCGTCTTCGTGCTACACGAAGGAAACCGAGGCCCAGAGAGGCTAATGGCCTGCCCGAGGTCACGTGGCAAGAAGCGGCTGAGCCAGAGTCAAGCCCTGATACCTGGCCACAGATCTCACGCCTGTAGCCAAGAGCTCCCACCTGGCTGGCCTGCTGGGGAGAGCGGTTCCGGGGCGCCTCAGGGAGCCCTCGGCCTGGAAGGTGCTTTGAGCGGAGTTTCCTGGAGGAGCAAGTTCGGGCAAGTGCTGCTGCTCCTTTGGTGGTGGGAGGATGAGCTCTGGAGTCACGCCAGCTCCAGCCCAACTCCCGTCTCAGCCATCTACTGCGTGGCCGTCTCCTGGCTTCCCTGTGCCTCAGTTTCTTCCTCTAAGAAATGGGAATAACAGGTGTGCCTCATTACCTCACTGAGGATAACAGAGAACATACACGGGCTTAGAACAGTGTGTAGCATCTGAGTATTTGTACATGTTAGGTTTTTGAAATTTTTATTTACTTTGGAAGACAGCCAGGGCATATTGAAGGCTCTGGGAATTCCTTTACCAAGTAAATTATTCCGTCTTGTTTAACGAGCCTTTCCCAAACGGATTTTCCTGTGAAACCCTTGTGGTGAGCAGTGAGTGGTCACAGCTCAGGGAACTGTCCCCAAAGCACGTGGGGAGCCGAGTCCTGCACAGAGCTGTCTGGTGGGCGCACGGGGCCTCCTGCACCTCCGGCCTGGCCGCCCGCCCCGTCACGCACACCCCTGCCAGGGCACCCAGCCAGGCCTCCCTGCGAGCCGCGCGGGACGCCGCCCGGAAGCCTACAGTGAGTCTGTGAGACCTTACGTGGAGTGACAGCCGTCTCCTTTCTGCCACCGCAGCCTCTGGCCGACGGGTCCTCCAACCCGTCTCTGCATGAGAACGTGCGGCGAGCCGTCCTGCCGCACCAGCCGGCGGGGGCCTCCCCGTCCAGCAGCCTGGGGAGCCTGAGCCAGGCTGGGAAGGACGACTGCAGCTCCTCGGCCAGCAGCCGCTCGGCCGCCAGCGCCGACAGGCTTCTCAGCCGCACCTTCCTCCGGGTGGACACCTTCCCAGAGGTGCTGGCCTCTGAGAGGTAAGGCAGGTGGAATGGAGGGTGAGGCCTCCGGTCCTCCAGAGTGGGCCAATGGGTCGCACATTGTCAGGGGAGAAAACAGAGGCCCAGAGAAGTCAAGTGACTCAACCAGGGACACACAGCGACGCAGTCGGAGCTGGGCCCCAGACGCGTTTGTCCCTTGCCACAGTGTGGGACAGCATGGGGTTACAGAGTCAGGCCTGAGCCCTGCACAGAGAGGACAGGGGACCTCATTCAACCAGACGTGCGTGCAGCACACACAGCAGCTGTCCAGGCTGAGTGCCTCGCGCGTGCTGGGCAGAGTGCTACGTGCTTACTGGGACTGATCATCTCCCGAGCACATTGCCCAGGGGGAGGGAGCCTGGGTTTGGTGATCAATAAATATTAATCCAGGAATTAATTAATTGCTCCTAACTGCCCTATAGGGAGGTGCTATTATTCCCCTATTTCTCAAAGAGCAGAGTGAGGCGCAGAGAGGCTGGATAACTTGCCCAAGGTCACACGTGGTGAGTGGAGGGCGGCCGGACCCAGCCTAGAGCGGCGCCCCGCGTGCGGGTCCGCGCCCTGGGCCTCAGGCCGCTCTGCTCTGAAGTTCCGTGACTCGAGGGCGGGCATGAGCCAGGGCAGGTTCAGCTCGGAGCTGCGGGAAGAGCGGGCTCCTCGCACTCGGCCTTGGCCCAGGGAAGGAGGAGCTTTATGGAATAGGGGTCTCCTGGGCTCGGCCAGCCCTGGCGTGGGACGGCTGTCGCGCTGCACTGAGCCGGAGCGCAGACAGCCGGCGTGGGAGAGCTGCCGTTCCCCGTGGAGACGCGCTTGCGGGTGGGGACACGCGGCCAGCACGCTCGCTCCACCCGTGTCTGCCCGAGACCCTGTGACAGCCACTGGCTCTCTCTGACCCTCTACTTCCTGAGTCCATCTCCTCGTCTGTAGAGTGTGCTTGTGGCACTGAGGGGAGACGACAGGCGGTGACAGATGCGAAAACGCGCAAAGGAGACGTCATTTTTGTTTCTCCTTCCCTGGGACGTCCCAGGCAGCGTGTCTCTGATGCCAGCTGTCCCCCGGTCGTTTCCAGCAGCTCCTTTGATTCCTGGCCAAGCCCGGGTGGGTGCGGGGCGCACTCAGCGGCGGGGTGGGGGGCGCGGGGCGCCTCCTGCGGAGCGGGGTGCGCCAGCTCTGCTAGCTTGCTTTCAGATGCTCCAGAGTCTTTTCTGGCTCTTTGTTCTTCAGCGCGGACGTCGCCCTATGTGTGTACCACCTTCACCTGAAAGACCTGCTGCGTCTGGACACGGCGCTGAGACAGGAGAAGCACCTGGTGGGTGGAGAGACTCCCTTTCCCTCCCTTGTGCAGGGACAGAAACTGGGACACAAGGCCCTCCGTGCCCAGCGAGTCCCGAGACCGCTGAGAAGGGCGTGCGTGGAAACGGAGCGGCCGCGAGCGCGGGCGGCCAGGCTGGGCGGGAGAGCGGGGCGCCGCGGCGGTGAGCGGCCGGGCACCCGCTGCAGATGGAGCAGGGACAGTTAGAAGGGAGCAGTGTTTTCAAAGGGCTGATAATGGCGACGATGGCATTTAAGGGTGTGGGCTGCATTGAGTGCTCACTGCGTACTAGGTCCGGGCACTCTAAACCACGCTTAAACCCGCCGCAGCGCAGGGCGGTGCCGCAGCCATCCCCTCTGAGCGCAGAGCGGGACTTGCCCAGAGCCACGAGGCGGCGGCGCTCAGCCGGCTGCCCGGGCGCGGTCTCCGAGCTGCGCGCTGGGGAGCGCAGTGCCGAGCGCCGCCCGGACCCGCCGCTCGCGGGTCTGAGCCACGCGGAGCAGAGCGCTGGGCCCCACTGTGGCCACAGAACCCCGACGGTTCAGCCAGGCGTGGAGGCCGCAGGGGTTGACAAGGGGCATCATTGCTCCCTGGGGCACGTTCTCTAATCACGGAATGCGCAGTGAGATCTACGGAGAGGGTGGAGGAGGGAGATAGCGACAGACAGAGAGAAACAGGCACTCAGACACATGTGCCCATACAGCGCCCGTTATAAACTGGGAAAGTGCAAGAATATGAAACTGGGATGCACCTGAGAGAAACCTGGCCTCTGTACGAGCAGGACTGGCCTGATACACGGTGGCAGTATTAAAAACCGGAGATCATGCTGAGATCCAAGACACAGAGCATGGCCCTGCACTCCCGCCACCCCACCGCTGAGCGAGAGTGAGACCCCTGTCTCTGCTAAAAATAGAAAAAATTAGCCAAGCATGGTGGTGGCTCCTGTAGTCCCAGCTACTTGGGAGGCTGGGGCAGGAGGATCGCTTGAGCCCAGGAGTTTGAGGTTGCAATGAACTATGATGACACCACTGCACGCTAGCCCCAGTGACAGAGCAAGACCCTGTCTCAAAAAAAGAAAGAAAGAAAGAAAGAAAGAAAGAAAGAAAGAAAGAAAGAAAGAAAGAAAGAAAGAAAGAAAGAAAGACATTTCCTAAGGCTGTAGCTGCCAGTGAGTCCTCTGATGGATCTGGGCAAAGTAAACCTGAATACCTTCTGGAAAGGACTCACCGTTCTAGATGCCATTGAGAGCATTCATAAGGAGGTCAAAATATCAACATCAACAGGAGCTTAGAAGTTGATTCCAACACTCATAGGTGACTTTGAGGGGTTCAGGACTTCCGTGGAGGAAGTCACTGCAGGTGTGGTGGAAACAGCAAGAGAACTAGAAGTAGACGGGGAGCCAGGAGACGTGACTGAATTGCTACAATCGCGTGACAAAACTTTAATGCATAAGAAGTTGCTTCTTATGGATCGGCAAGGACAGTGGTTTCTAGAGGTGGATCTGTTCCTGGTGAAGATGCTGTGAACACAGTCGAAATGACAACAAAGGATTTAGAATATGATATTTAGTTGGTGGAGCAGTGGCAGGATTTAGTTGATGAAGCAGTGAAAGGATTGACTCCAATTTTTAAAGAAGTTCTACTGGGGATAAAATGTCATTGAATAGCGTCTCATGCTACAGAGAAATCTTTTGTGAAAAAAGTCAGTCAGTGTGGCAGACTTTACTGTTGTCTTCTATTAAGAAGTTGCCAGGCTTTAGCCACCCCAACCTCCAGCACCCAGCACCCTGGCCAGCGTGGAGGTGAGACCCTCCACCTCACCTGCAAACAGGTTACGACTTGCTGAAGGCTCGGATGATCATTAGCCTTTTTAACAATAAAGTATTTTTAAATAAGGGATGCACATTTTTAGACATAATACAATGTGTATTTTTGCAACTTCATTTGAGTCTATAATTATTTCAAAATTATTCTATAATTATTCCACAATTATTTCAAAATCACTGAAAGGGTTTGGATGGGGACTGTAAACGTTACTGATCCAGTTTGGGTCACAAAGAAGGTGGATTTGAGATGAGCATCTTGAGAAAAGAATGTTATCTGGACCACCTCAGGCTTCAGCGGGTAGAAGAGTGGGACACCACACTCTTCTTCAGAGGCCGTTAGCACCGGCGGGTATAATGAAGGGTGGTGCAGAGAGGCCTGGGTTCGAAGCTGTGGTCTGTCCACGTGGCTGTGTGACAGGAGGCAAGTTGCACAGCTTTCTCAGCCAAGGGGCTCGTCATCTGTGAAACGGGAAGGCTGTGCCAGCCCCCCACTGGCGGTGGAGACCTACTGATGGCACGCACGATGCGCATGCCAGCCTGTCAGCACGGAAGGGTGCCTAACACACCTGGACCCACTGAAACAGGACACAAAACTGTGGCCCTTGAGCCAAACCTGGCCACACCCATCTGTTTCCTTAGTGCCTGTAGCAGCCTTCTAGCTACAGCAGCACTGAGTGCCGCAACGCCGGCCTGCATGCCAGAACCGCTCGCTGTGTGGCCTCACTGCAAAAGCTTGCTGACTGCTGCGTGCAGAAGTGTCTTACCATGCAATCATGTCTAAGTGGCCTTTGGCAAAGGAGAACTTCACTGGAGGAATGAGAAGGTTTTCGATAAATGATACTGGAGCAGCCATTTAAGCAAAACAATAAATGAATAAAGTGAACTTCAACCTAAACTCAAAATGGATCATGTACTTAAATGTAAACAATAAAACCACAAATCTTTTAGAAAAAGTGTGAGGGAAAATCTTCAGGATCTGGACCTAGGTAAAGAGGTTTTAGACTTGACATCAAAAGCATAGGGGAAAAATTAATTGATTGGATTTCATCAAAATTTTAAAGCTTTTGCTTTGCAAAGGACTCTATTAAGAGAATGAAAAGACAAGTTACAGAGTGAGAGAAAATATTTGCAAACCACATATCTACCAAAGAAAGTACTTGCACCTGGAATACGTAAAGAACTCTCAGAACTCATCTGAAAAAAGAAAACAATCTAGGTAGAAAATGGGCAAAAGACATGAACAGATATTTTACCAAAAAGGATACACAGATGGTGGTGACATAATATAAAAGATGTTCAACATCACTAAGCCATTAGGGAAATGCAAGTCAAAACCACTATCATACCTGTCAGAATGACTAAAATAAAAAACAGTGACAACACCACCTGCTGGTGAACGTGTGAAGAAATGACCCCGCAGACGTTGCTGGGGGATGGAAAATGGTACACCAGCTTGGAAAACATTTTGGCAATTTCTCATAGCACCTAACATGTACTTAATGGAAGACCCAGCAATTGCACTCCTGGGCGTCTATCCCAGAGAAACTTATGTTCGCACAAAAACCTGCACATGTGTGTTCTTAAGAACACTATTTGTAATAATCAAAACTGGAAACAATCCAAATACCCTACAGTGGGCGAATGGGTGGGCCAACTGTGGAACGGCATTGTCCGGACTCTCCTGGTGTCCCTGCGCACAGGAGGGTCCTTGGTTTAAGGGATGTCTCCATCTGTTGAGGCAGAGGTGGATGACTCTGCATATCCCAGTTTCACACAGTTGTCCCCGAACTCTTTCCAGGGAAGCCGCCCCCTTTGCCTCCTATATTTCCTTGATCCGTATGGAAATGGGGAGTGGAGGCCTTGCACGGAGCAGGCACCTGGTGGTGGTTGAATAAATGAGTGAAGAAAAAAACGAAGCATTCTTGAGAAGCTCATGAAAATGTAGTCCATTATAGGCCATCATCATGATTTATAGTATGAGGTCCTTTCCTACAGCAAAAAGGTGTGAGCGAGGGGGAGAGAGGACAGCAAGCAGAGAAGGAGCAGGGGAGAGAGGGAGAGAGTCAGAGGAGACGGAAGAGCGACAGCGTTGTTTAAACCTTTCTCTTGTTGCTGTTCCTGTTTTGGCAACAGATGTTTATTCAGATTTTAAAAATGTGCCTCCTTGATCTTCTTCCTAAAAAGAAGTCTGATGATGAATTATACCAGAAGATTCTTTCAAAACAAGAAAACGTAAGTAAGTTTTGAATCTGTATTTCAAGGTAACTTAAAAAACAGCTTATTATAATATATAAAACTTAGGCTCTGGAAGTATTTTTGCTTTCATGTATAAAAATAGTTTATTATTAATATAATGTACATTTTTAACACAATATAATGACATATAAAAGTATTTGTGCAAATATAAAAATAACAATGTATTATTAAACTTTGGAAAAATGTTTAAAGCAACAAAGAAAAAAATGTTGGTCATAGCCACCACTCAAAAACAATCTTAGTTAATGTTATTTTCTGCACAAGTTTGGGGTGTTTTAAAAGATATATCTTGCTTTTTCACTCAAGCTGTTTGTCTTTCTTTGAATTCTACTCTTCTCAGTCTTTTATAGAAAGTTTGTATTGTTTCGTGTGCAGCAAAGAGTCAGGGCTTGGAATCAAACTGGTCCCGGTTGGTGTCCAGCTTCTCTTACACGCTCTCAGAATCCTAATTTCTTTCTATGTGCAATGGCGTAATTCTGATCCTCGGGGGTGCAGAAAGGATGAGAGAAATAAATGTGTATGATACACCTGGCAGAGGAGTAGCCGAACTGCGGGTATGTGGCACTGCCACGCCTGTACCTACAGCCACCACCAGGTCCTCCTTGGCGGCATTAGCACCATAGCATCCTGTCTCTTTCTTACCACTGACCAGCACCACTGCTGCCCTCACCTCCCTCCGATCACTGCACGCCGTCAGTCTCACCTCCGTCACCACCACTGCTGCCCTCCTCTCCCTCCATCACTGCACGCCATCAGTCTCACCTCCGTCACCACCACTGCTGCCCTCCTCTCCCTCCATCACTGCACGCCGTCAGTCTCACCTCCGTCACCACCACTGCTGCCCTCGCCTCCCTCCATCACTGCACGCCGTCAGTCTCACCACTGTCATGTTTGTCGTCACCACCCTGGTCATCAGCATTCTTGGCACTGTCATCACGACCACATTGTCTACAGCTGTGTTGTCACCCTCATGACCCCACCATCACCAGCCCATCTGCCTCCTCCTCATCCTCCTGCTTCCCCTCAGCACAACCCGCCCCCTGTATTGTCATCATTGTTGTGGTCAGCAGCACTCTCATCACTGCTACCGTCATCATCGCTGTAGTACCGTCATCATCCTCACTGCACCAACACAGTCATCGCCACCATCTTCATCACCACCCCAGTACCATCATCCTCCTCTTCGCCGTCATCATCCTCATCACTACAGTCCCCACCCTCTTCCTCTTCCTCCTCCACCACCACTACCATCATCCTCATCATCATTGTCACGATCCTCTTCATCCTCTTCCTCCTCACCACTACCATCATCCTCATCATCATTGTCACCACCCTCTTCATCCTCCTCCACCACCACCACCATCATCCTCATCATCATTGTCACCACCCTCTTCATCCTCCTCCTCTACCACTACCATCATCCTCATCATCATTGTCACCACCCTCTTCATCCTCCTCCTCCTCCACCACTACGATCATCCTCATCATCATTGTCACCACCCTCTTCATCCTCCTCCTCCTCCTCCACCACTACCATCATCCTCATCATCATTGTCATCACCTTCTTCATCCTCCTCCTCCACCACCACCACCATCATCCTCATCATCATTGTCATCACCCTCTTCATCCTCCTCCTCCTCCTCCACCACTACCATCATCCTCATCATCATTGTCATCACCCTCTTCATCCTCCTCCTCCTCCACCACCACCATCATCCTCATCATCATTGTCATCACCCTCTTCATCCTCCTCCTCCTCCACCACCACTACCATCATCCTCATCATCATTGTCATCACCCTCTTCACCCCCTCCCACCACTAGCATCACCTTCATCATCATCATTGGTATAGCATCGCTTTCCTCGCTCCCTGACCACCTCCATCATCTTCTACATCTTTGTCATGATCATCTTCATCACCACAACCATCACCACCATCATCTTCCTCACCCTCCTTACTGCTGCCCTTGCCTTCATTATCATCATCATTGTCATGCTCATCCTTGCTACCACCACCATGACCCTGGTGTTTGGCAGGGAATGTCTCTCCCATACTCTTCCGGACTGTGTGAGGAAGGGTTACTCACTTCATTCTGCTGGGGAGGAGGTACCCCATAACCTCTATTTCTATCCTCAGTGCCACTCCTGCAGTGACCCTCCCAGGAGGCAGTGCACACAGTGCTTGACATGTGTTATTTTATTTAACCTTCACCACAGCCCTGGGAGTGGTCATTCTGTTTTACACCTGAGGAAACTGAGGCTCAGTGAGTTTAAATGACTATCCAATAGTAAAAATAATAATAATGGCAATGACGTTCATAAGTGTACTATTACAGTAATGATGAAACAATACTATTTGTTATAATGGAAAGAGTAAGCTTTGGTGTCCACAGACCTTATCACATCCCACCTCGACCACTTACAGGGCCATTTGGCTTTGGACGAGCATGTTGTTAATAATTATAACAGTGGCTACCACTTATTGAGACAGTCTAGCCAAGTGCTTTATTTATTTATTTATTTATTTATTTATTTTTACTTTTGAGATGGAGTCTCACTCTGTTGCCCGGGCTAGAGTGCCATAGCGTCAGCCTAGCTCACAGCAACCTCAAATTCCTGGGCTTAAGCGATCCTCCTGCCTCAGCCTCCCAAGCAGCTAGGACTATAGGCATGCACCACGATGCTCGGCTAATCTGTTTTTTTCCTATATATTTTTAGCTGTCCAAGTAATTTCTTTCTATTTTTAGTAGAGACGGGTCTTGCTCTTGCTCAGGCTGGTCTCGAACTCCTGAGCTCAAACAATCCGCCTGCCTCAGCCTCCCAGTGCTAGGATTACAGGCGTGAGCCATCATGCCCGGTGCTAGACAAGCGCTTTCAATGCATAATTTCATTTAATGTTTGCAACAACCTTCAAACTGCTAGAAGAGGACAAGAGGTGCTCAAAAGTTGGAAGAGTAGGGACAAGCCTGGCATTGCCACTTCCTGTCTGGGAGACTTTGGACAAAATATCTTAACTTCCCATATGCCAGTTTTCTCATCCGGAAAAGTGCCTTAATTTTTCTCTTGCGGAGATGCTGTGAGAATTAGAAATCACATATGACCTTAGCTTGCATCCTCAATAGCAGTTTGTACCAATGTTATTTTTCCTAATGAACCTGAACGCACACTAGTATTGGTTACATGGCAGTGAACACAGCTCTTGGAGGAAATAGAACTGCCTCTCACACTCCGTGTTGGGGCTCGAAGGACTCCATACCTATGATTCTCCTTCCCCCTCTGAGTTCAGAATCAATTGAGAGAGAGTCGGGGAGACAGATATCGAAATGTAGCTTTATTGCTGATGTGAGGCCAGCTTGGAGGACGTGGCTCAGGTGCGCAGCAATCATGGGTCCCTAACACTGAGTCCCAGAGTTAGCTCGGTTTCCTGCCTAGACACCAGCAAGGCTGGGCCACTTCAGGCTTCCCCACGTGGAAGTAGGGCCTTTGCTGCCCAGATTATTCTAGGCTGAGATCACACCAGAGCAGTGGCCTCCTTGAATGGTCCATCCAAAGAGGAAGGGACTGGGCAAGCTAAGCCTCTGGGCCCATGTCTTGCTCTTGAACCCACCAATCAAATACATATCACTTCCTTCCCTGGATTGCAGTGAGTAATCCTTCCCCGGGAAACCAGAAGAGGAAGGAAGAAATGTTCCCTCCTGGCCCCCAGGTGTCATGCATTTTCCAGGAATTTATAATGATTGACGGACACTGTTTCATTGTTTCTAAAGTATGGTCTATTATTTGGGGGGGCGGGGGGAAGCAGGGGGATACAGAAGAAAACAATTTAATGAGAAAAATAGATTTTTATTATCAAGCCTTAAGTAGGATAACACCCAGAGCATTTAATTATTGTTAAGAAATATTTCATTACAAAGTGGTGACAAAAGCATTTATTTCTCTAGAATTTAAGATGCATAACACTTTTTCCTAGTTTATTTGCTTTCTTTTTTTCTCCAGGATTTGGAGGAGTTAGAAAGGGGACTTCAGGCCAAGCTGTCAAACATGGAGGTGTTGGGTGCCGGTGACTCGGAACACCTGGCCCTGGCAGATGAGGAGAGGGAGGAGAGAGAGCGTTCGGAGCAGCTGGTGGACAATGTGCGTGACGGACTTTCTTCCTGTATAGAAACCCTGGTTCCGGGACAGCTGGGTTGGCCAGATTAAACAGGTGGCACTCAGGAGCATGAGTAGCATTTGAATTCCCCGTCGCGGCTGCCGCAGAGGCCAGATCGAGCCTGTGTGAGTGGTAGGGAAGGTGTCGTTGCGGAGCAAAGCCTTACAGAGGGAGGATCACCTTTTATATAATGAATTCCCTCTTTTAAGTTTTAGATTGACCTTCGCATCATTCACAGCAGAGACTGCTGTGCCCTTGAGGTCACTCTGCCTTCTGGGCGGGGTAGATGCCAGGTGCCAGGCATCGCTCACAAAAGCGTGTTTTAAACTCGAAAGAGAATGGCTTTCCCCAAATCTCTCTCTTTTTGTTTTCTTTTGGGTTCCACCACCTCCTGCTCATTTATGTGTTAAACATTTCCTTGGTGTTCCATCTTTGCCAGGCATTGTGTGGAGCACTGGGAATTCAAAATTCATTTAGACGTGGCTCTGCTCGAGAGATGCCAGGAGACCCACAGGGGAGCAGACGGTGGCTCCATGGGTAGCACGCGTCGTGATGGAAGGACGCAGAGGGGAAGGCAAGGCAGGCACAGTGGAGGCAGGAGTCCGATTCGCCACAGGCTTGGGAAGGTCTCCAAAGATGAAGGGACCCCCGAGAGGCTAGCTGGGGGAAGCGTGGGTATGCCTGGTGCCTGGGCAAAGGCAGGAGCCAGGGAGGGCTGGGCGGCAGGTAGCGACAAGATAAGGCTGCAGAGATCTGGCCAGAGACTTTGCATCTTATGCCAGGGAGGTGGGAGTCAGTGAGGGTCCAAAGCAGGGGCTGGCCTGGCTCGGTTTCTGCTGCAAAAGTATCACTCAGCTGCTGAGCAGAGGGTAGTGAAGAGCTATTGGGTTAGTTTGGCAGGAACGTCATTAAGGCAACCACGGTAGGGATGGAGAGGTGAGAAAAAGTACGAGAGCTGATGCGGGGTGTGTTACAGGGTGGCACGTGGGGAGGAAGGGGGTGCAGGGGGCCAGCTCTGCTGAGATAAGGATCCCAGAAAGAGAAGCGCGTTGGTAAGTCCAGCTTGTATGTCTCGAGTGGGGAAGCGTGCGGCGCAGGTCTCCATGGGGGCCCAGGTTGCAGAACCGGGAGGGTAGGAATGTTCTTAGCCCTGCGGACCAGGATGGGACGGCTGCAGGAGAGGGGCTCTGCCTGATTCCCCCGTCCACAGACTTCCCAGCGCTGTGTGCCACACCTGGTCTGTGTCTGCATCCTTCAAGGAGAAGGGTTATCGTTTTCATAAGATTCTACAAAGTACTGGCGACCTCCAAAAATGGAGAGGCCTCTGGCCTGGGAATGAGTGTGTAAAATGGGAAGGAAAGGAGCCTGGTGCCCACTCTTGGACCCTGCCAGTATTTAAGGAGGGGCTGTCAGGGAGAATCAGGACAAGAAAGCAGGAGAGACTGGAGGGAACTTTGAGAAAGCAGGAGAAAAGCATGTCACAGGCCGCAATGATGCAAATTAAACTGCAGCCAGTTGGTGGTTCCTAGCTCGGCTCCTGATAAGAGGGGGAGGAAGGAAAAAGATTTTAAAGCAAAATGTTTTCATGGTCAGCATCATCTCTGCCACGTTGTTCTTTTGCACTTTAGGACAATAATTCTTATCTATTTATTTGGAGACAGAGTCTCACTCTGTTGCCCAGGCTAGAGTGCCGTGGCGTCAGCCTAGCCCACAGCAGCCTCAAACTCCTGGGCTCAAGCGATCCTCCTGCCTCAGCCTCCCAAGTAGCTGGGACTACAGTCATGTGCCACCATGCTCGGCTAATTTTTTCTACATATTTTTAGTTGTCCAGCTAATTTCTTTCTATTTTTAGTAGAGACGGGGTCTCGCTCTTGCTCAGGCTGGTCTCGAACTCCTGACCTCCAGTGATCCTCTTGCCTCAGCCTCCCAGAGTGCTAGGAATAATTCATATTTAAATGGCAGTGGGTGCTTTTATTTCTAGGACACATTTAATCCCTTTTAAAGATCTCGAAGCTTCCAGGAGCACATTGTCACATTTCGTGTGCCTGCTGGGTGGCAGTCATGACCTGCGTACGGGTCTGTAAGCTGGGCGAGCTCAGGGCTTTCCTTCCTTATCAGCAGCACGTCAGTGTTTGCCGAAAAGCCATCTCAAAACTGACTGGCATCTACCATGGAACCAGGAGGGCCCTCTCTATAGGATGTGATTGCTGCCGAGATAAGCTCTCTGGAATTGCAGAGCTGTTTAGAGTCTCTGTCTGCGATAAGGAGTGAGTTATAATTCCCAAGCACGAACCACTTTGCTTTCTTAAACAAGTTTTCTCCTCCACTTCTTGCTTCCCCTGCTCCTTTCACAGATGGAAGCTTTCTGGAAACAGATGGAAAACACCCAGCACTTTCTTGTGGACCAGTTGAAGTGTTCCAGCTCCAAAGCCCGACAGCTCTCCATGACGCTGGTGGAAAGAATGATCGCAGCCGAAGGGCTGCTGCGCGACTCCCAGGATCTGCAGGCGCTGGTAATGCCGGGGGCTGGGGAGGGAACGTGAAGGCTCACACCAGAGACTGGGCTCACAGCCCTGAAGCACTGTGGAGACCATTAAGTAGAGCACCTTCCTGCTGTGGCTGGCATGTAGAGCCCCGGACAAATAGCAGTGGCTCCACCCATCCCTCTCCCAGCAGGTAGGGGCTCTGGCCAGCTCAGCGTTCCTGCAGCCCAGCACACTTGTTCTCAAGCCTGAAATTTCACACTGAAATTATCTGAGGAGCTTTAAAAAGTATGATCCTTGGGCCCCAGATGAGTCCCTACCCTGGAGATTCCGGCTTAATCAGGCTGGAGTGCAGCCCAGGCCCTGGGGTTTGGAGCTCCCAGATGATGATGGCGAGTGCCCAGGTGACAGTGTAGGTGGAGCATCAGTTTGCTCTCCTGACTGTCCTGTGTGCCACCTGGGGAGTTTTAAAACATGTCAGTGCCTGGGTCTCACCCCTGAGAGTCCACTCAGAGTGGTCTGGAGCTGAGGCCCTGGCGTCGCGGGTTTTAAAACTCCCCTGACGGTTCTGATGGGAGGCCAGGGCTACAAGCCACTGGCCAGGAGGAATCTGGGAGTCTGGCTTTGAATCCGGGCTCTGCTGCTTAAAGCTGTGTGATCTTGAACACATTACTCAATCTCTCTGAGCTTCTATTTTTCTAGTTATAAAATAGTGGTCCTAAGGCCCCGTAAATGCTGAGTTGCTGCTGACACCCTCATCACCATGGGTGTCTCTGTTCAGACCTTGGGCTTATCTCCTGCGTGTGCAAGGCCAGTGTGTGCAAGGCCCATGGAACATGCCCTCGGAGGTGCTCCACACCCACTTCCCTGTCCTGTGCACCAGCCCGAGGGACAGCCCAGCTCAGAGCCCTCCTGTGGCCACCCTGCCCTCAGCGCAGAGACCCAGCTCCTGAGACCCGTGGGGAAGCCAAGCGGGCAGGTCCCACCGCTCCTGCACACTGCAGGCCTCTCCTGGGGCGCGCAGCCCGCTGCATCGGCAGACCTGGGAGCTGCTTAGAGGCGCCGAGTGTCACCCCGCCTCCCGGCACGAACTGCATTCTAGCAAGATCCCCCATACGCACAGTTCTTTGAGAACCTTGTGTGCTTTTCCTCAATATACACATATGGTCTCCTTTTTCATAGCATACAGATAAAAGCCCGCTAGGTGTCTCACCTAAGATCCTATCCTGCCTAATGACATCACTGAGCCTGGGCCCCAAGCTTCCTGGTTTGCCACCCAAGCCCCTTTGAATTGGATTTTAATTTGATAAGAGCTGCTGACTCACAGTAAGGCTCATTGAAGGTGGAAGACTTTTCTTCTTTTTCCTTTTGCTGTCAACAGGATATTGATGCAGAAAAAAAGAAAAGAAAAGAAAAGCCATCCTTAGCTGACTCTGGCCAGAGTATCAGCCAGTAACTTCCAAATAGAAAGAAGGAAAGGGGTCACCCCATTTAGCAGCACCACTGCCCTGCAGCTGACATTTAATGAGCACCTCCTATGTGCCACATGCTGTTAATGGAAGCAGGATTGCAGAGGTTAAGATTGGAGACTCAAGAAACCTGAGCTCCTGCTGTGGTCTTGCCACTTACTAGCTGTGTGTTCTTGGGCAGGTTACTTAACCTCTTTGTGACTTAGTGTCATCATCTGCGAAATGGGAACCATAATAGCACCTGCTGTCTCACAGCGTAGTGGAGAGTGTTAAAGAGTTGATGACATGGCAAGTCCTTAGAACAGATCCTGGCACATAGGCAGTGCTCGGTGTGTCAGTCAGCAGAGTTCTGCAGGCCACGTGTCAGCAGGCAAAACACGGAGAGCAAAGGGCTGCAGTGATAGGTGGCAAGGCCTGCAGTCTGTCTGCACAAGGAGGGAGGGATCGGCTCTGCCCGCGTCCTGTGTGCCGAGGAGGGAAGATGTAGCTTCCATATCTCAGGCCACGGTATCTCAGAACTGATTAACTCTGTGTTCTGATAAACTCTGCGTCCTGATAAATTCCCAGGACAGCGTGGGATCTTTCTCACGCTGTCCTGCCTGGGCGGTTGGGCATGGAATGCGTCACATAGGCCCTAGACCGCACTGCCACTGCTGAGCCCAGCAGGCCTGCTTGGGTCCCACGTCCTCTCTCCCTGGAGGTGGCTGCAACCCTGCCCCGGCAGCCGCCCTGCCCGCCCGCCCCACCCAGCACCTCCGCTCATCCTCTCGCGCCCTCTAGGGGCCACGGGCGCCAAGATGGCCGGGCCTGTTGACTGGGAGGAGGGGTGGGCTCAGGGCAAGGCTGGGCCTCCTGAGGAGACTTCGCACCTGTCCCTGGGGCTTGTTCTTGCCCAGGCCTCACACGCTGGAAGGCAGACCCAGGAGGCCCAGGGCAGGGCGGGGCACTCGGGCGACTCAGGACTGAGGCTTGTCCTCAGGGCTCTCGGTGCAGCCTGAGACTGTCCCTGGCAAGCAGCTCCCAGAGACAGGAGCAGGGCCTGTGGGCACCGGACACGCGGCCAAGGCCTAAGGAGGTGCAGTGGAGAAGGAGCCCTTGAGTGAGGGCACGGGACGGGGCAGGGTGGGCCGACATGCCGGGCTCGGGCTTGGCTCCCGCTTCCAGAGCTGTGTGGCCTGGGCACAGGCCCCTCACCTGCTCTGATGCACAGGTGAATAAGGTGGATGTGAAGGTGAATAAGTTAAAATACATAAAACGTTTAGAAAGGTGGCCAGGGCACAGGGAGGCCCCATGAATGTTGGCGTGCCCATCCTTACCACGGCAGGTGCCACATCTCTCTTTCCCAGTAGATCTCGAGAGACTAAATCTGACGACCTCCAGGGAGCCTTTTAAGGGTGCTTCCAGTGTTGATATTCAGGGATGCTATGTGACACATTCCATGTCCAACCGCCCAGGCAGGACAGCGTGAGAAAGACCCCACGCTGTCCTGGGAATTTATCCCTGGAGCGAGGAGCAGGCGGTGTGTAGGACAATGCCCCAAGACCCTGGTGCGCTGTGCCCAGCGGCCTGGGCTTGGCCTGAGGGCTTGCAGACAGGGCGCAGGCGAGTCTGAAGGGCCCGTCTGCCACGCGTGGGCAGAGTGTGCAGGAGGGCGGGCTGCCGGAGGGCCGGCGTGGCTGTGGCGAGGACAGCGGTGCCCAGGCCCACGCTGGGGGCTCTGTGCCCAGGCCGGTGCTCAGGCCCCCGCTGGCATCTCCTCCCGCCTCCCTCCTGTGCAGGAGTCGGCCGTGAGCTGGCCCCAGCCACGGCCCCGTGTGTCTCTCCCGGCAGGATACCCTGGAGAGGACGATGGGGCGGGCACACATGGCAAAAGCGATCGAGTCCCTGCGGCTGCAGATCCAAGAGGAGACCAGGTGCCGCCTGGCCGCCATTTCCCGCGGCCTGGAGCAGCTGGCGGCGGAGGGGAAGCTGTCCGTGCGGCAGAAGGAGGAGCTGCTGGCGCAGCAGCACAAGTCCTTCTGGCAGGAGGCAGAGCACTTCAGCAGGGGTGAGGCGGCAGCGGGGGCTGGGACGCCTGGGCTGGGGTGGCGCTGGCAAGGGTCAGGAGACTGGAGCAGCACGCCCATGACGCCTGGCACGGCTGCCCTCCCACCGCCGCCCTGCGGCAGGCCACTCTCTTCTCTAGGCCTCGCTTCCCTGCTCTGCACAGCAGAGTCGGTGAGGCCCGCGGCCGAGGGCAGCAGCCACATGCGCCCTGTGTCCCCAGGGATTCAGGCCCGTGGAGCCCCTGCGTCCTGCAGCAAAGCCACCTGGGACATGCAGACAGGCAGAGGAGGTGGAGGGTCTCCCACTAGAAATTATCATAGAAAAGACCAGAAGGGACCCGTGTCACCCAGTAGCAGCCTCCATACTGCCAGGGTCACATGGCCCTGCCCAGCTGCAGGGTGGGTGAGGGTGGGTCGTGGGCAAGGAGCAGCCCAGTGTGGCTGAGCCGTGTGCATGTCCTGCACACACTGCTGCTCTGGGGCCGACCCTGGGGCGGCTCAACTCAGAGGGCATCTGGGACTTAGTCAAGGTCACACTGTTGGAGGAAACCCAGGTATGCCCCCTTGGCAGGAGAGCACAGGAGAGCCCCACTGAAAGTCTTGCTAGGAGAGTCACTTGCTGTCCTGTGGCTTCTTCAATTCCAGAGTTTGTCCAGCAAGGCAAAGACCTGGTCCAGGCGTCTCTGGCTCACCAGGCAGAGGGGACGGCAAAGCTCACGCTGGCCCAAAAAGAGGAACAGAGAAGCTTCCTGGCTGAGGCCCAGCTGACCACTGACCCGGAGAAGTTCCTCAAGGTGATCCACACCCAGTCCTACAGCACATGTGGGTGAGCCGGGTGGTGGCTCAGTCTCGGTGCACAGGAAACCAGAGCATCCGTCAGACACGAGGCCAGCCCCCTGCCTCCCAGTGCCTCCCAGTGACTGCAGCCCGATCGCCCAGCCCCGAGCCCCCACCTCCCTGGTCTGCAAACTAGTGATGAGAGCCACAGAGCTCCCAGGGCTACTGGGAAGGGGGGAGAGCTTGGCAGAGCACAGGGGCTCCATGGAGGCAACCCATGCCAGGTGCAAAGGGCTTGTTGTGTGGGCCAGAGGGCACAAGCATGTCCCCAAGAGTGAGGCAGACTCACACACCCAGCGACAGCCCACTTGTGGGTCAGCTGCAGGCCGCCTCAGCCCTGTGTGTGCGGTTGAGTGGACAGGACCAAGAGGTGGCCGGGCTGGAAGATGCGGTGGTCTTGCCTGGGGATGGGACAGGGAGACCTGCATGAGGACAGGAAGCCAGATGTCACCTGGAGGGAAGGGAGCTCAGCGATGCCGGCATAGGCTGGAGAGGCCCAGGCTTGCCAGTTCTTAAAGGGAGAAAACAGAACTCTGTTTCTGCTCTTCCTATTTTTCCAGGAGTGGGCAGGGGACTGGGGAGGGACTGCTTGTCCACAACCCTCTTGCCTGGGGGTTAAGCGCTGGGTGCTGGGGCCAGCACACCTGGGTCTGGGTGCTGACTCTGCTTCTGAACAGCTGAGTGACCTTGGGCACGTGGCTTAAGCTTCTGGCCCTCAGCTTTCTCGTCTGTGAAATGGCCTTGACAGCGACTATGTCATCGGATTCAGTGAGACTGTGTAGCCACACCGTGACTATTCTCTGGGTGACTATTTCTCTGTCCTACATTAGCACCTGCTGCATCTCAGCTCTGCCGGGGGACAGTAGGACTGTGTCTGGGTCCAGCCTCAGCCCAGAGTGTAGGCCCGGGGCCCTCCTGGTGGTGGCAGCAGCACTCCATTAAGAAGCCAGCAGAGGAGAAGCCTCTAGATCCCTGGTCCAGCTGCCCCTCACCAGGGAGCACCTTCCAGGGCCGCCTGGGGCTGCTGTGCTTGCCACAGAGGGTGGGGCCGTCACTTCGCGACAAGGAAGATGCAGTCACTCAGCTTGCTGTTCCTCTGAGATTCTGGCCCTGTCCCTGCCGTCAGGTTGCTTAGTGTGAGTCCCGAGTGACCTCTGTGTCCCAGGGCCTCAGCATCGGCCAGACACATGCCGGTGCTGGGGACGCGTGCCGTTGGCCGCCGGCGGAGCGCATGCGCACAGGAAGGAGTGAGGCGCAAAGGACGCAGCCCTGGCTGCGTGCGTGCGTGGGCAGACTCGGAGGACCCGAGCCTCGGGCGCAGGCGGGCCCTGCCTTCTCCGCTCCCTGCCCGCCCTCTCATCTCACCTCCCCCAGGCGGGTCCTTCCCCGTCTTTGCAGCTGCTGTACCTTGAGCTGGCTCCACCTCCCTCCAGGAACCTTTCTTGTCCTTCATGACCTGGCTGAGACATTTCCCCACGGGGCTTTCCCCGGGCTCCTTCCTGGGAGGGGTCTGCCACTCCGGCTGTGGGGGCCTCTGGTGCCACCCTGCGGGGCTCCTCAGCTTAAGTCAGGAAAGGATGGCTGGGCAGCTGGTGGCCAGGACAGAGGGGTGACAGGGTGACCCAGTGGCCCTATTCACACTGGGCTGAACAAAAGCACAGTCTGTGGTTTTTCTGGAAGTCAGGTTTGCAGGCCCTGGCCTCACTGTGACAGCCCTGTGGCTCAGTTTCCTCATGTGCAACACAGGGGCAAACATCCTCCTTTCTGTTCTGAGAGGCAGGGGTCGGTTCGGGGGAATTTTCTGGAAAAAAAGCTCTGCATTTTTCTACTAGACTCAGCTCCTGTTTTACTCACAGGCTTTCCACGAGGTCCTGGAGAGGCAGAGGCTGACTCTGTGGGACCTGGAGTTGGAGGAGGACATCAGAACCACTGAAGCCCTGGCTGCCCTCTGTCAGGTAAGCAGACTCACCAGGAGGGGCAGAGAGACCTCCGGGTCTGCATGTACGTGAGATCCTCACACCCTCCTACATCCTCCTGGCCAGGGACCCGAGATCCGGGCTAGTGCCTACCCCAGCATCCATTGGCTGAGTGACCCAGACAGGCCACATCCCTTGATGGGGTCCTCCCTGTCCCTGTCAGAGACCAAGGAGGTCAGGGCCAGGGCCCTATCTGAGGCTCCTTCCATTTCTGGGGTACTTGGACTCTCACCTCCAAATGTCCCTGTAGACAAAGGTCTCTGGAAGCCAGTTCTCCCAGAAGGAGAAATAGGCCCAGCGTTTGGAGGTGTCCTCTGTGCAGAGTGGTGGTTAGGAAGGAACACTGGGCTTGGAGTCAGAGGCCTGGGTTCATGAACCAGCACCCCCTCTTTCTCCCTGTGCAACCTCGTGCAAGTCTGGAAAGGGGAGATGAAGCCTGCCACGCTTGCGCTGCAGGCTGGCTTTAGAGAGAACAGGAGAGCACACCTGAGCCCTCCGAAGGGGCAGGGGCCGCTGGGACAGGATGCTGAGCAAGATGGAGCTCCCGCCTCAGCAGCGCTTACAGCGGTCAGGAAGGTGGAAGCCTGGTCTTCTGGCTGCCCAGGAGCTGACGAGCACCAGGGTGGTAGGAAGTGCCATGGATGGGGGTTGACTCTGGACCCCAAGTGCCTGGGTCTGTGTCGCGACTCTTCCCCTTCCTCGCTGTATGGCCACAAGAACACCACCTGGCCTCTAGCTCTCAGTTTCCCCACCTGTGAAATAGGCACAGTGACAATCCTTCTTCATGGTGGTGTCTTGAAGACTGAATGCGTGTGAGGCCCGAGGCAGCAGCTGGAGCTCGGGACGTGCCCATCCACGTTGGCCCCTGTTTTGGGGCCATCGTGGCCTGTTGGCCTGTTTTAGCATCCCTGCTCGTGAGTCCAGAGAAGCGGGGTGGGGCCCCGGGCTCGGGGCAGTGAAGGTGGCAGTCTACAGGAAGCCGTGCCCGAGTCAAGCTTTGGAGGAGACGGGCCCAAGTGGACAAGCAGTCAGAGGCGTTCCAGGCAGGGAGAAACACGTGCCAAGGCAGAAGTGCAAACCGTCGCCGTGCTGGTGGCTGTACCAGTTTGAATAGTGTCAGTACTTGTTAGGGCTGCCGGGACAAAATAGCACCGACTGGTGGACTAGACGACAGGAGTGTATTTTCTCAGCACTCTGGAGGCTGGTGTGGAGCACGGTGCTGGCAGAGTGGATTCCTGGTTTGGCCTCCTGGCTTGCAGACGGCGGCTGCCTTCTCCGTGGCCTCGCGTGGCCTGTGAGAGCGTGGGGGGCACAGGGCCGCCTGCTCCTCTTCTCGTAAGGGCACCAGCACTGCCACCTCGGGGCCCCACCCCATGGCCTCGTTCACTTGACCTCCTTAAAGGCCCTGTATGCAAATGCAGTCACTGGGGCTTAGGGTGTCAGTGTGAGAGTTTAGGGGGAGCACAGTGTAGTCCAAACACTGCCCCCAGGATTTCGTGTCTACCTGGAAACTCAGAATGTGACTCCACACTTAAGAAGAGGTCACACCGGAGAAGGGTGGGCCCTAGATCCAGTGACTGGTGTCCTGCCTTGAAGGCCACGAGAAGGCACAGACACAGGGAGGGAGCCACGTGACAGTGGAGGCAGGCTCGAGTGACGTGGCCATGGCCAGGGAGCCCAGAAGAAGAAAGGAGGACCCTCCCTAGAGCCCACAGAGGGCGTGGGGCCCTGCCAACACCTCACTTCTTGCTTCCCGCCTCCAAAACTGGGACTGAGTCAGCTTCTGTCGCTTTAAGCCACTCAGTTTGTGGTGCTTTGTTGTGGCAACCAGAGAAAACAATAGGAACCAGTCGTTGTCCAGGGCCAGCCGCGGCTCAGGTGCTTGCTGAGTGTCTGGTCATCAACCCTCAGTAGAGTCCCGGGAGGCAGACCCTGCATTTCCCTTTCCTCAGAGATGAACAATGAGGAGTTTTCTGGAGAAATATGCAGAGTGGGACTCAATTTATCAAGGCCTCAGGCCCCCCAGGCAGGAAAGGAACAACTTTGTCCCTTGAGGAGTCAAGACTCAAATCCCTGGCTGGAAGTGAGGAAGCTGAGTTCCAGTCCCCCTCTGAGTGCTCTGGGACCTTGGGCTGGTTACATAACCTCTCTGTGCTGGCTCGAGTATCTTACTCAAGTTTGACACAGCAAGCAGTGCAGACAGGATTTAAAATAAAGTCTTTCTCGTGTCAGTGCAGAGTGGGTATGTAGCATAGCAGCGAGAAGACCAAGCTCTGCAGCTAGACACCTGGGTTCAGCTCTCAGCCAGGCCATTTACCGAGTGTGACCTGGAGCGAGTTACCTACCTCTGCCTCAGTGTGCTCAATCTTGGTGACATCCTGACACACAGCAAAGATGGAGAACCACTGTCTTGGAGAAGATGGGTGAGACTCCAAGGAGCTAACACCGGTGGGGAGTTGCTGCCCATGTGCGCCCTGGGCCCACCTGGGCTCACCTCTGGGAGGGGACAGTTTCCAGCAGGCTGACACTTCTCACCTACGCTGGGCTGCGAGTCTAAGATCTTGCCCAGCTAAATCCCTCTCTCCTCCTCCACAAAGCAGCGAGGCACCCCGCGGCGGTTACTGCTGCAGGGCACACAGAGCCACCCGTGGGCAAGTGCCAGCTCAGTGGGTGCCAGGAGGTATATCAGTTTCAGTAAAGGTTTGTGGAAGATGCGGAAGCGACCACGGCCTCATGTGTCCCAGCCATGTCCTGAGGCTGCATGTGTTTGGTTGTTCTGTGCGTGGGGCTAGTTGCAGGGCCCGAGAGAGCTGGGGCCAAGGAAGTGAAGACGGCCCTTTGTCTGCTGTCGAGAGGCTGCCAGGTGCGAGCGAGGGTGATGGTTCAGGCGCAGGTACGCGACATGCGCTGCCTAAGACGGCGCCGAGGGGCAGGTGGAGGTGAGCACAGTTCTCTGCACCTGCCTGGGTGTCTTTAAGGGAAGTGGCCAGAGGCCCACGTTGCTTGTTTCTCTGAATTAGGCCAGGGGTATTTTCTTAGATTTACTCTGTCATTTCATCTCAACCCCTTAGGTTCCAGCTGGCTTGGTTTATTTTACAGTCCTTAATTTGGAAATCATTGCCTTTGGTTACTGGAAACTGCTTTCCTCGATTTTCCAAAAGGAGGAGGCTGAAGTCCCCTGCGGCGGACCGGGGTGCTGGCTGTGCCTTCCGGGCTGGGCGTCCCTGCCCTGCGCTGAGCTCCGGCTTCTCTCTGTGGAATGGAGATGGGAGCCTCTTGCCTTCATGGCAGCACCCAGCGTGGGAGTGCAGGTCTGAGGCCCAGGGCCTGGCACGGGGTGGGCGCTCAGGAATCCCTCACCCCTGGGAGCCTGGCCGGCGGGAGGCACTGAGCCCCGGGGGTAAGTGATAAGCTCGGATGGCCGGCATCCCTGCCTCCTCTGCTGAGGTGGGGCAAGAGGCTGCCTTCCTATGGCTGCTAGGAGTTTTAAATAAGGGCACCCTGTAAAGCACAGAGAAGAGTGCCGGGCACGCATTGGGCACTGAGAGCGCGTCGTTGTCGTCATCGCTGTCCTCTGTCACCATCTGGGAAGGCGTCTGCACAGAACGTGCCCACAGTGCACTTTGCCTTGCTGTCTGGCGTCCTGTTGCCGGGCCCAGGGAGACAGGCATAATTTTACCCTTTCTTTAGGCCTGACACCAGTCACGATATTGCAGGGACAGTGGCAGTGAGATCAATTTGATTGCCACCCAATGGTTCTCAGGGCTGCGGGGAAAAGTGCATTTTTCTAAATTCCCACTCTCTGGCCTCTAAAGAGACCGTGCGTCCTCAGTTTGACAGAGATGGTGCTAGCACGTGGCCTGAGCTCTGCGGCTCGGCGCCTCACAGGAGGGGCCGCAAGGCACACACTCGAGGCAATCAATATTGATAGAGGAGCCCAGAGCCGCCCTGACGCGACAGGGCGTCGGCGCAGAGTTTGGCGCCACCGTGTTCCAGCGGCCGTGCAGACCTGCGTGTCTGTTTGCATTTCACGTCGGACTGTTTCTCTGGCAAGGCTCCTGGGAGAGGGCGGTAAGATCGCAGCCTTGGCGTGCTGGGGCGGCTCAGCTGCAGGCTCTCACGGGAAGGTAGGGCTGGGAAAAAAGAGAAAAAAATTGAAATCTGTCCTTGAAGAACACAGCGGTAGTAACAACGGGCATGGAGGAAGTGTTCGGGAGCAGTGCCCACGTCCACCCTCCGGCCCCTTAACTCACTAGGAGGGCGCACAGGGTGCGCCGACAGCTGCCGTGGCCGTGCTGGCCGACTGCAGGAAAGGTGCTTATTAAAACCAGCCGCGAGAAGGGGCAGACGGGCAGAGCCGGGAGAGCTCCCTGCACAGGGCTTTCAGCTGCCCTCGACAGCACTACCTCCTCCTGGCGTGAAGTGTAACAGGCACAAGGGAGCTCCCCTGGGCCTGGGTACACAGGGTTTTGTTGGGGTCCAGCCATATGGGCATGGCCGACCACCCACGCAGCTGCCCCGAGCCTCCAGCCCTCCAGAGGTCAAGCTGATGGCACATTCCCAAGGCCCCTCCGTAAATCACACCGTTAGTGCGGAGACTGTCTGCAGGGCTCAAGGCCTCCAGGTGAGTAAAGACACCCCAATCAGGCTGAAAATTCCAGGGACTTAGAGGTCACCTGCCAGGAGCCAAGGTAAAAGCCAGAGCCCTCCTTGGTCAAAATGAACTATTTACTGCACAGCAGTGGGAGTTTGAAGTGTTGTTCAAGGTCACTGGCTCAGCTGGCGAGCCCTGGAGCCAGACTCGGTGTCCATAGCAGGCGGGAGGGGAGCAGTGGCTTGCTGGGCGGGAGAAGCAGTGAGGGTGCAGTCCTTGGCCGAGGGCTGAGGCTTGTTCGTTTCTCTACTAGACCCCAGGAGATGACACACTAGGCAACCAACACTGATAAATAAATGAACCAATCAGTTAATGTATCAATCAA